GCCTGGAGTGGGAGTTGAGGGTGCTCAGCACCTCAGGCAGCATACTGCACCTTGCAAGATCAGGGTCCCAATTGTTTTAGTTACTAACCCTTGGCTAAAAGACGTCTGCTCTTGGCTAAGGCTGTGAGCCAGACACCGAGCAAGAGTGTACTGGACTTCTGGTCCGCCACCAGACAATGTGGGAAGAGCAAAAATGTGCATGGGGGTGTGTGTACAGCTTTTCAATGCAACACATAACAGATGGGTGAACCTGTGTAATCTGCTGTGCCAGCTTTAACAGCCCTTACCGGAGTGCTGGTGGCTGGAGGCACAGTTCTCACAGGCAAGGATGTGTGAGCGTCTGGTGCCGAACAGAATTCCAGAATGCGCTGTGACTCTTCCCTCTGTGTGTGGCTTGCAGCCTGAGGTAGTATTCAGCATTCGTTTATGCCAGCGCGCCTCTTCCTATCTTCTGCTCCTATTTGTGCAGCCATATGTTCCATCATTAAACCAAACTCCCGGTGTACCTGTCTCTGTGACAGAGACTTCACTTCCTCATTGTCCTGGAGTAGAGCCTACCTTTCTTGCCACTGCACTCTCATCCAGGGATAATAGTGTAAAATCTACCATCCGTCGCCTAGAAAAGAAGGCATACCCACATCCCTTCTCCTGTCCCACTTCTCTTGTATGCACACAGGGCCAGACTCTGCTCTCATTTAGCACTGGTGCAAATACAGAATCGCTTCAGTAGAGTTGTTCCTCCTTTATACAGGTGTAACTGAGAACCATATTCAGTCCACGGACCTGATCATGAAGTATCCCTGCTCTTTTTATCTGTTCATTCCAGAGTGTGCGATAAAGATCGGAAGTCCCTTCTTATTGTTGCTTGACAGATGGGTTAACTAAGGCACTTGTCCAAAGGCACACGCTCTATGGCGGAGTCCTGGATGAGAAACCAGGAGAAACTGACTCCCAGCCCAGTGCTCCAACCATCACACCACAGCACACCTCCATTTGTAGTTGCAATTTTAAACCCGAGGTTAATGGAGTCAGCGGAGACTGAGATGCTTTGCTTTCTCAGGGCAAATGTAATCTGTTACATATTTCAGCTATTAGAAATTAAAATCGGTAATAGATTACTGATTACCTTTGCATCATGCTTGGAACAGCACGGGGCAGTGTGCGCACAATGACTTTGGCTTACTTTCTGATCTGGAATGACAGGATTGCCAAGAGGAGTAGCTAAGTAATTTAGGTTGCTTTCCTGCCTGAAAAGTAATTGATTGTCTCCATCTTTTCTTTTTCTTTTTTTTTTTAAAGTGACGTGAATGCAGTCTCTATCGCTTTAATTACACACATAATGAGAATATCTAAACTTGCATTAGAAGCGATAGAAAATTATAAGGGACATAAGCCCTCGTGTTTCAGGGCAAAATAAAATTAAAAAAATAGGCTAGACAAATTCAGACTGGAAATAAGGTGTACATTTTTAACAGTGAGAGTAATTAACCATTGGAACAATTTACTAAAGATTGTGGTGGATTCTCCATCACTGGCCATTTTGAAATCAAGATGGGATGGTTTTTTTTCCAAAAGATCTGCTCTAGGAATTATTTTGGGGGAAGTTCTGTGGCCTGTGCTATATAGGAGGTGAGAGCAGATAATCATAATGGTCCTTTCTGGCCTTGGACTCTATAGAAAGTCAACCACTAACTGGTAAGGGTTAGGAGGAAACTTTCCCCAAGTGTCAGATTATGGCATGATTGCCCATTACAGGGTTTCTTTCATCTTCTGAAGATAACTACCTATATTGTAGAGCTGACCCTTGTACACATTCTGGGCAGAGATGCATCTCTGAACATCTAGGGGGGTGTATTGGACTGGGAGTTTGGATGTGGCCGGGGAAGTAATGAATCTACTATGGTAGGTGTGGGCTTAGATTCTGCCGGCCAATTCTGCTGGCCGTATGCCTGCAGAACGCCGTAGGCTTCCATGGGAATTGTGCCAAAGACAAGCAGACTTTGGCCCCATGTTGTTCCTGTTTTCAGATGATCTGTTGGTGTGTGATCTTTCCTAAAAAGCAGCAGATCTGTATATTGTAACACTTGTGACATACGAGTTCCTGAGAATAAAATATTAGCAAAGTCGATGTGTTTGCATTTCCTTTGAAATTTTGACATCTTGGAATTCTCCGCCACGTTTTCCTCTCCTCTTCTTCTCTTCTCCCGCAGTTCTTGTGATTCCCTAAGCTTTGAACCCATTGTCGGATGGAAGACTGCCCCACGGCATGTCATGGTTTCATTTAGATGAAAAATCCCATCCTGGGGAGAGTTAGCTATGCTCACCTAAGTCCCAGTGTAGAGCATGCTAGGTCGATGGAAGAATGCCTCTCAGAGAGGTGAGTTACCTATGCCAATGGGAGAACCCCTCTTCTCAGCGTAGGAACTGTCTACACTGAAGTGGTGCAGCTTGTGGCATTTTTAAGGGTAGATAATAATAATTTTACGATATATTTGTGTGCACTGGTGGCATCTGTAGTGTCTGGCTACAAATCCCCCAAGCACATACATTCTCATTGTTTGTTTTTTTGCTTACGGTCTTGGTGCCTCCTACTTTCGATCTGACCAAAAATCATTCGAGAAAACCAGCTCTTTTTATTCTGTACTGTGCCTTTAAATTGCCAGACATTGGCTTGAGGCAGCTGCAGTTTTGCATTCTGCTCAGACCCAGCATGTTACAGAAGAATGTCACTGTGTTTTTCTTAGAGACCTTACTTTTGTCCTTTCTTGATTCATTAGTTTCCCTTTAATCTAATGTAAATATGATTTTAAACTGGAAGTACAGAATGGCTCTGTGTCTTGGGGGTAGGGCGTGAAGAGAATTTAACACAAACCTCGGATGTTTGTTTGGGTCTCAGTTTGCAGTCCTGCTAACCCCAGGCATTGAGAAATCATCCATCAGGCATATGATGAGACTGCATTTAAAAAAAATAAGCTTTAAAAAACTTTATACATTTCTGGTTCTTACACCGTTTTTGGCTTAGTTTTTGAGCCTTTAGGACTCATGTTTTCAAGCTATTTTCCTCACAAATGAGGGTGTGAAACTTTTTCTTTTCTTTTTTCTTTAAATCAAAGTTGTAATTGTCCTGTAATCCTGTGGCTCCAGGAACTGCGAGGCCTTTAAGAAAAAGAACGACATGTCGCAAGACTTGTGGTAAAATCACGAGGGTTGGTAACCGTGATTGTTGTGAGCAAAAGTTTCAGGGGAATTCTTGTATATCTCAGCCCGTTATCCCATAACCTGTACTCCTTATTATCCTTCTATTGTTTGTAAGCAGGGCCGTCCGTAGGATTTATGGGACCCTACGCGGTATTATTAAACTGGTGCCCCTATGCTCGATGGCAGTGCGGGCTCGTAGCTTGTAGTTTGGTTCTCCACTTGTAAGGTAACTCCCTTCTCTTCACGTGTCAGTATATCTGTGCCTGTGTCTGTAATTTTCACTCCATGCATCTGAAGAAGTGGGGGCTTTTAAATCTTAAAAATCTATGCAAGGATTTTTTTAGAGATGACAGGTTTCAGAGGAACAGCCGTGTTAGTCTGTATTCGCAAAAAGAAAAGGAGTACTTGTGGCACCTTAGAGACTAACCAATTTATTTGAGCATGAGCTTTCGTGAGCTACAGATCTGATGAAGTGAGCTGTAGCTCACGAAAGCTCATGCTCAAATAAATTGGTTAGTCTCTAAGGTGCCACAAGTACTCCTTTTCTTTTTTAGAGATGTGACTTTATCATCTTCAGCAGCACACTAATGAAATATTTTTAAAGCAAATTTTAAAGTAAGGTCCTGTTGTAGATTAACATGTTCTGAGTAAATATTACAGTAATGCACAACTGTTTTTGTCAGTGAATTCAGAAACTGACAGTATATATCTGGGGTTGGCAAATGCCCATTAAATGGCTTCATTACCACTTGAATGGCTCTTTAACAGCTTTAGTGTTGTGCTAATAGGTCTGGCAGGCTGGAAGGCTTTTTCACTTTTAAGTTACTAGATCCCCTCTGGAGGAAGACTCGCCAGGCTGCAGCAGCTAGCTGTGGGAGCCTGCAGGAAGGGTTAGAACAGGGATCTGAAGAGGCAGGAGGGTGGACACTAAGACTCAGGAGTGCCCCAAATTTTAGGGTGCCCTACACGGCCGAGTATGCTGCATATGCCCAAGGACGGCCCTGTTTGTAAGTCTGTGCTGGAAACCGAGGGGTGTTGTAAAAACAGAACTTGACTTATGTTCAGGAAATACCAAATCACTTCAAGCTTCCTAGCCTGCTATATCTTTTGTGTCTACCTCTTTTGAGCCTTTTCCCATATTTTTTGGCTTCAGTGGGTTGTTCTGTGTGTAAAGTGCGGCACAAATATGTTCCTCGGAAAGATTGTGGCTAGGACTAGTTGAAAATTATCCACTGGAGCTTATTTTGAAAAGGAAAAACTGGAGTTTTGTCGTGTGTGTGTGTGCATGATGTCTGCTTTCCTCTATTTTTTGCCGAATTTTTTTTCATCAGAAAACTTCCAGCTGCAAACTTTTTTCCCCCTCCTTTTTCACTTTCCACGCTTTTGGGTTTTTTTGACTGAAAAATGAAACTTCCTCTGAAAATTTTTGACAATGATTTGTTTGTTCGTTAAATTTTTCCACAGCGGGGGAAACCTGCTTTCCGAATAGCTCTAATTCTGGCACAACAAGCCTTCGTTACTAACGGGAGAGTGAGTGTAACAGGCTGATGATGCACCATACATCTGCCTACTCACAGCTTAGCGAGAGAGGCTTTCAGACAAGCTTGGGGGAGCAACTGTTAGGCATGGTTGACTGAAGTATGCTGTGCAGTCATGACTGACCCAGGGATCCTTGAGAGAGAGTCACAGCTGAAATGAGTGAATCATGAGTCAGATCCTAGACAACAAGGTGGCAGCTCTACCGGAAATGCTCCGAAACAAATAAAGAATGGTCATTTTTTCTCTTCCTCTTTTCTCTGCAGAGAATCCCAGAGGAGCTAACCCTAGATGTCTTACTGGATATGAATGAGTCCAAGGTGAAAGAAACCATGAAGAAATGTGGGGCCAGTGATGAGGAGTGTTCCAGACTCAATGGGGCTCTCACCTGTTTAAGGAAGGTGACCGAATCAGGTATCGTTTTCCTTGCTGTTTGATGGGATTAGTGGCTAATTAGACAGTCATCCCCCCAACTCCATCTTGCTTCACTTTTGCTTAGTCTAAAAATCTTCTGGCAGAATAAGCCCAAGAGATTCTCCAGCAACATTTAAGGGCCAAGTTTGCCCTTGGATGCACATGGGGTTCATGTGATTGAAATTATCAAGAGCTGCGTACACATCGGAGGACAGGAAATGGCTCTCGAGGTGCATTCGGTTCTGGAAAGGACTCTATAAATGGCCCCTTCTAACTCAGTAGACCTGCTCAGAGTCCAGTTTGCTGACTGTGCTAAAAAATTGACTTCTGTTTAAAACTGTAGTGACAACGCACTGCTTTGGCATTTGAAGCTGGAGTAGGGTGACCAGATGTCCTGATATTATGGGCTTTGCTTATAGATATGGCCCTACCAAATTCACAGTGCCTTGGTGGTCACTTTCCCGGTCATAGGATTTAAAAAATCATAAATGTCATGATTTCAGCTATTTGAATCTGAAATTTCACAGTGTTGTAATTGTAGGGTCCTGACCCAACAGGAGGGGGGTGTGGGTGTGTGTGTGTGCAAGGTTATTGTAGGGGAGGGTTGCGATACTGCTACCCTTAGTTCTGTGCTGCTGCTGGTGGACTGGGTGCCCAGTCAACAGCTGCTGCTCTCCGGCTGCCCAGCTCTGAAGTCAGTGCAGAAGTAAGGGTGGCTATACCATGACCCCTCCCCTCCCAATAACCCTTGTGACCCCCTGCAGCTCTGTTTTGGGTCAGAACCCCCAATTTGAGAAACACTGGTCTCCCCGGTGAAATCTGTCTAGTATAGGGGTAAAAGCACACAAAAGTCCAGATTTCACGGTGGGAGACCAGATGTCATGGTCCATGATGCGTTTTTCATGGACGTGAATTTGGTAGGGCCCTACTTATATATGCAACTATACCCCCCCACACCCCCTCAAAAAAAAGTATCCCGATTTTTCATACTTGCTGTCTTGTCACCCTAAGCTATCTCACTCATTAACAACAGAATCATTAGCAGAGTTGCAATTACAGATCTGTATTGCTGATGGTGCAATAGCCAGAAAAAAACCTAGCATGTCTTTCAGATTGTAAGAGGGGTGGAGGGGGGAATGTGAAATAAGCATCTTTCCGCAAACTGATTGGATCTGGTTTCAAGTCACTCAGAGCTAGTGAAAAGAACAGGAGGACTTGTGGCACCTTAGAGACTAACCAATTTATTTGAGCATAAGTTTTTGTGAGCTACAGCTGGTGAACTCTGTTTGTTTGTTTGTTTGTTTGTTTTTTCAAAGCCCCTTCCTAGAAAAGTGCTGCTCTTAAAGGCACAGGATGCCGTAGGTTTATGGAAACCTGGGAGTGTTACTTGCAGCAAACCATCCTTATCTGCGTCAGATCTTTCTTTGTAGCAGTTACTGCTCTGTCATTGGAAGGTGTCATTTCCTGTTGGTAATCTGACAGTTCGTACCTCTGGCAAATCTAAGGACCTGCAAACTGAAAAGTTAGCAAAGAACTTGACTTCGTTTCGTTTTCTTTTTTTTTTTTTTCCTCCTTCTAATCTTTCCATCTTTAGTTGTCAAGTATTTTCCATCCATACAGTGGCAAACCAGCCATCGCCTCTAGCTCAGGACACGTGTTGCTATTTCCTGTAAGCAATGGCATCTGACCCAAAGTTCTAATTATTATGTTACCATTTGGTATGAGATGTAGCTGTTAAAGCAGAAGACAAAGAGCCGGGACTCTTCATTTCTGTTCCCAGTTCTTCCACTGACTGGCTAGTGTTACTTAAGCCAAGATGCGTAATGTCTTTGGCCCCGATCCATCCATCATTAAGGGGGGGAGGGATAGCTCAGTGGTTTGAGCATTGGCCTGCTAAACCCAGGGTTGTGAGTTCAATCCTTCAGGGGGCCATTTGGGGATCTGGGGGAAAAATTGGGGATTGGCCCTGCTTTAAGCAGGGGGTTGGACTAGATGACCACCTGAGGTCCCTTCCAACCCTGATATTCTATGATTCTAAGTCATTAAAGTTCAGCACATGCTTAAGGTGTGTGAGTTGTTGTCCCGTTGACTTCAGTGGGATGTCTCACGTGCGTAAAGTTAAGCCTGTGCGTAAGTGTTTAGATGGATGCGGGTCTTATCCAATGTTCCTTCTAATTTTTGACAGGCCGTGTGCACAAAAAATTTCTTTGGTGCAAACGATTGTGCTTCTGTACAAATTTTTGTGCGCGCGGTGTTCCACCGTGTGTGCGAGGTTTAGGATCTGTGTGTGCGTGCACACGCACGCAGCTTAGAGGGAACATGGTCTTATCCATCAAATGAGGCTGTGAGTGGTGAATGCTTGCCTGCCTCATAAGGGTGTGCTTGAATTTAATGGAGGTCTTTGGATGTGAGGCATTAGGGAAGGGAGCGCTACTCCTTCCAGGATCATACTGCAGGGGAAGCTGGACAGGTTCACTTCCCCCACCCAGCATAAGCCAGCAGGTTATGTAACACTGATGAAACGAAAGTACTAGATTGTGTCTAAATGCTGGAATTTGAGGATGAGTGCTACCTCTGTGACAGGCAGCTGTGTCTTGATACTCCAGGGTGTCTGGTGTGGGGTAAGCTACAGGCAGTGGCTAAGCGCTGGTGATGTATGGGGACAAGTGAGAGGCGGAGAAGTTTTGAATACAATTTTTGTGGTTTGCAACTTTTTTTTTTTCCAGCCATAGATGGGGGTGGGAAGTTGTATTCTTGATGGACTCACCCCATTAATACACATTTCTGTCTCTCTCTATTGTCATAAGGCCAGCTTTATCAAGGCATGTAAAGATGCAGATAGGTGCCTAGTGAATGTTACAGAAGTTGCCTAATGTGAATTAATCTTTCCATGTTTAGGTTGTCAAGTATTTTCCGATGAAGTGAGCTGTAGTTCACGAAAGCTTATGCTCAAATAGATTTGTTAGTCTCTAAGGTGTCACAAGTCCTCCTTTTCTTTTTAAGTGAATTAGGTGTCTAATCGCCATAGACTTTCAATGCGAGTTGGACACCTAACTGACTTACCTCCCACGAACAGTCCCTGGCAGTTAGGAACCTAAGGCAGGTAAGCACTTCTTTAAATCCCACCAGGCACCTCTCTGCATCTTGGGTACCTAAATACCTTTATACATCTAGCCCCAAGCCAGTCATGCACCCTATCGGAGGAAGGAGGTTTATTTCGGTTTTGAAGCTCATGGCTACAATTGGGAAAAGGGAACGGTTTCTGTTGCAGTCATTTGAAGGAAATTTTAGCTGGTGGTTTAAGACTCTGAGGAGTTGAAACAATGGCCTGGCCAGATGCCAAGGGAAAAACCTCCTGTTGTCCTTAAGCCGCACTGTGCTGGTTTTCTGTCCATTGCTAACACTGATATTGTTGGTGAACAGGTGGGGAGTTAAAAGAAGATCTGTTGTGGAATCCTTCTGATGCGCGCCAAGAGAGCAGCTCTGCACACCCTGCAGAACCCTCCTGTCTGCCAGGACCCACATGGACTCATGGCATACTGCATCTTTCAAAGGGCAACAGCCAGCAGGTGCGCTCTGTTTCCGTGTCTGCTCTACCTTCTTCGGATTCTCTTGCCTTGAGCCAAGGACCATCTAGCTATTCAGACCACTTCCTGGAACCGTTAGCCTTCCCCACCCACAGTGGTCGAGTAGTATTTAGGACTCCTCACACCATCACCATCACACCGCCGACGACACCTCAGTTAAAGAGGCGGCACAAATTGAAACCTCCACGGACTCCGCCTCCGCCTTGCCGGAAGGTCTTTCAGCTGCTACCAAACTTTCCAACGCTCACAAGAAGCAAGTCCCATGAATCACAGCTGGGCAACAGGATAGATGAAGTTCCTCCTCTAAAGTAAGCACTGGAGTTTCCATCCTCCTTCTTCTGGGGGGGAGGGGGGGGGCTGTGTTTTACACATGGGGCTCTTCCTTTCTTTCTTTGGCTGCATGTATCATTCCAATTCCCATATCTCCAATCCCAGTGTAACCAGGAAGTCTTGTCTTGGAGGTTACCCAGACCTGTTATAAAGTGAAAAAGACCATATGTTCTAAAGAAGTGTCGCTGATGAAATTGACATATGCTTGATACAAACGCTGTGCAACTCTTACACTAGTAAGAAAAGGAGTACGAGCGGCACCTTCGAGACTAACCAATTTATTTGAGCATAAGCTTTCGTGAGCTACAGCTCACTTCATCGCATGCTCACGAAAGCTTATGCTCAAATAAATTGGTTAGTCTCGAAGGTGCCACGAGTACTCCTTTTCTTTTTGCGAATACAGACTAACACGGCTGCTACTCTGAAACCCGTCTTACACTAATGCTCTCCATCCTGTGCACGAGGTTAACAGTACAGTAGGCCCAACCCACAACACCGTGTACTGCTGTCTCATCCGCTCTCAAACTAAGCTGGGTTGGATCAACATCAGTTCTGGTGTGGATCCAGATTTTGCATAAGGTGATGTTTGGTTGTGGTGCAGAATCCATATTGATGGATGCCCTAGTACAACGTTAATTGGCTTTTGTAGCTATGATGTCTTTCAGATCACACGTGATATAGGGGTTTGGATTACTTGCTGTTACTGAGGATATCAACACTTTTTTTTTTATGCAAGAACATTTCTGCCAAATTCCATATACAGCAACTATGTACACAGTTTAGCTGGCTATTGTGTCTTCCACTCCTTGTCCGAAATTGTGTTTTAAGTGTTGCTGTGGCTTTTAAACAGCTGCATCTCAGTGATACACAAAACTATATACAGATCTTCTTATTTTTTTTTTAAATCCGTTTAGGACTTTTGATATGCTTTGTAGATATTTTGGGATGAAAGGTGTTCTGTTAATGCAGCATTTGCTTATTTATGCAAATGAGCATGAAACAACCGTCCCACAAAGTCTGAACGCCCCCCTGAGTTTTGGGGCGCTTGGATCAGGAACCAAACTTTGCAGCTGGCACCAAACCAGTACCACTTAGCTAAACCCTCCATCCCTTTGAAGGAGTTCAGAGCTGAGACCTATTGTCCAGCTGGGACCTGGCTTTACTGAAGGCTTTTACGAAGGAGTTGGCTATGAGCTGCTATAGAGGTCAGTAAGGAAGTTGCATCCTCTTATATAAAGGGAGGGAAGGAAAGTTAGCTTTGTTAGATATGGTTACTGGTGCATATGAAAGATTTCAGTACAAAACCGTGTGTGACCATGTGATAAACTCTGCGTAGCTTTTATATGCAAGTGCAAATGAAGTGTGTATTGACCCCCACACACTGTTGGGGCCTCTAACGACAGCAAGTATGCAGGTTGATTTTTGTTTGTTTAGCAATGGGTGAGAGGTATTTCCTTGAATTGAAAAGATCTGTAGCCAGCTACAGCTTTGCTTTAAATCTAGCGGTGAAATCCTGGTCTCATTGAAGTAAATGATAAAACTATTGACTTCAGGGGAGCCCAAAGTCTGTTTGGAGGCCAATGTAGCACTTCATTGTTGCGGAGACTGTAATGGACCAAAAAGGCCGCCTTCATCCTCCATATGCCTTTGTACAGCTCCGTGCACTCTGTTTTTGGCATGGAATGCATAAATGATAGAATTTACAGCTGGGATTTTCAACAGAGCCTCAGGGATTTAGGCATCAAAATCATATAGGTGCCTAGATCCATTAAGCTCCTTTGACAATCCCCGTCTATGACTAACATCCACGTATGCATAGTATGTATGTGTAAGGGGATCTTGCACTCTGTCCAGTGAATTTTATCATTCACGCGCAAAGAGAATGTGCAAAATATTGTGTACGCTGGTGCAAAGATGCCTGTGCCAAAAACAGAGGCCATGTTTTGAAAATAGAGTCTTAAAGGTTGTAATAAAGACCTTTGCATTTAAGGGAGGAGTTTAGATTGTCTGTCACGTGATTACTTGTGTTGAAAATGGTTTTCTTTCTTTTTGTCTTCCAGGTTTGGTAAGAAGCAGATTTTTGGGGGCAGTCTTCACATCCTTGCCTGTGGGGGAAAGAACGTCTTGTCTTTGTGTCTCCAGTATGGTCCTCTTTTTATGCTACCTTTTTGGAAGGCCTCGGTGTAGAGCGGTTAACATCAGCAGGCGTTTTGCTTGCATGAGAGCTGCAGGCGCAGTCCTTATTCGTTAACATGAGCTCTTCAGACGAATAGAGCAACAGAAAGAAATGCTGATACTGTTGGGTTTGGACCAGCGTTGAAGGTGTTCTGTTTTTAAATTTCCCCTGTCATTCCAGACTCCTGGTGTCAACGTCTGTTGGTATTTAAAAGCTCTAATTTCATAATTGTCCATTCAGCATCCGCACGTACCCTTGCCAGATCCTTCTACTTAGTGTAATGTTTCTTAAATTTCATGTAGCCTTGGCTTGAGGGATCATGCAATGCCTGTATTTCCAACATGGGGCTTTCTGAGTAAGTAGCCAATTTAATCCTCACTTAAGGCTCAGCTGTGCAAGGTGCAGAGCACTCTGGCTCTGAACCAGCAAAGCACTTGGGCCTATGCTTAGCTTTAAGCATACGAATAGTCCCATTGGAGTCCATAGCTTAAAATTGAGCATGTGGTGAGGTGCTTTTCAGCATCAGGACGAGCGCTCGGCAGCTTGCAGGATCAAGCTGCAGCCCTTTATCAGGGTACTTACTGTCCCAACCCGCTGTTCAGTTCAGCGACATGCTGTGGCATGACAGCAGTGGTCGGACCATACAGGTCTGTTTCATGAACCACTGCCTTCGTCATGAAGCTAACCTAGAAAACCACTTGTCCTTTAAAACTCTTTAGTCTTCCTGTAAAAAATAAAATAAAACTAAGGAGATTTTCATGTGCAATATATGGCCTGGTAAGCATTTAAAAAGCATGGCTGGTTTAAAACACAGTCCTAGCAGTTACTTTCCCAAAAAGAAATTAACCTGAAATGATTGGAAATGTAAACATCCCCCTCGTGGAGAACTCCTATAGAAACCAGTAGAGTTCTGTAGCTATTTTGATAGGATTGTGTAGAGATTACTTTACTTTAGAACCTATGGAATGGAACAGAAAATGAGTTGTTGGTTTTTTTGTTTTGTTTTTTTTTAGGTCTTTTTAGCTATTCTGTTTAAAGGTCCTCACTCTCTATTAACTTATGTAGGATTTAAAAAAAAAAAATCCATAGAAAGATCACTTTCTCTTACATTCAGTAAGAATTTTCTTTGAGTTTATATGTCCTAACCAAAGTTCCGAGCCTTTAGTTCAAAAACACTAGGCTTTGGTTGACCATCTCATTACGTCTGTTGTATGCAAGCTGTCATTTGTCCACCAGGGGCACCCGCTTGTAGGCTCCCAGCCATCACCTCTCTTGGACGGAGACCCTCCTCTTTCCCTCCTGACTGGGTTGTTTTCCATGCTGCCCAGTTCCCTGCCTATGCTGTGTTATTCCCAGCAAGCCAGACTGCCTAAACAGGCCAGCATCTGCATTTTGCTCTCTCTCCAGAGACTATAAACAGCGTAATTGCCCCCAGTTGCAAGCTACCGCACAGCTCTCTCTAAACGAGAACCTTTATTCTTAAGGTGAAAGCATTACAGAGAACACGAAAACCAATACAAGAACCACCTCACATGCTAATGAGTTTACCAGAAATCATCCCGAACTCCATCTAGGGCTCTGGTAGAAATCAGTGCTTCAGTCCCCACCAAGGGGTTTTCTGTGGTTACAAGTTCATACCAGCTTTAGCTCAGAACAGGCATCCCCATGCACAGGTCACTTTCCTTTGTGCAGCCTGGCTCTTTGGTCTACAGATTCCAGGGATAGGTAATCAGTAGACAGTGGTCCCTTCCTCAGGGCATAGCTTCAAAAGACTGGGTTTTTGCAGAACCTGGAGAGTGGGGGGAGGAATTTGCATTCACCTCCCCTTAGCTGTTTCCCAGGAAATCCACTTCACATGTATTGTCCCAAACGACCATTCTTATCTGCTACTTTGTTCAGTGCAGTCCTTTGATCAACCAGGCCCACAATTATTTAATACAGTGGACTCCAAAGATACTTGCACTTAATTCAGTGTGGGTTTTCAAGGCTATCGCAGGAAATAATTGCCATATCAGTCACGCAAGCTGCTGCTGCTTTTTATAAAATTGTTGACATCAGTCAAGCATTGTCTGTGATGTTGGAGAATGTAGGTGCCTTGGACTGTCGACACAGCCCACAGCAAGCCTCCCAGCCTGGAACAATAGACGTGGGCTAGTACTCTTAAAGACAGCTGTGTCTGCAGCGCTCTGGAGTTGTGGCTGGAGCTTGGGCTGTATATTTTTAGAACGCTAGCACTAGTGTGAGCCCTGCAACCCAAATCTCTGGACCCAGGCTTATGGCTGCCAGCTGTGTTAGACGTACAGTGGAACATTTCAGTGAGGCCTTAATTAAAAAAAGGATCTGGTGCCACCTAGGGACCACATGAGAGACTGATGCTAGTGGGAACTGTGCTCACAGACCTGGGCCTGTCCGTGTTGTATGACTATATAGTGTCGGGTTTTCCAGTATGTTAATATTTAACATATAGCCTTATTTGGAGGCAGCATTGCCTACTAGATAGTGCTGGACTGGGACTTCGGGAGACCTGGCAGCTTTTCCCAGCTCTGCCACTGGCCAACTGAGTGACCTTGGGCAAGGCACTTCACCTCTGTGCCTCAGTGTCCCGAACTGCAGAATGGGGATAATGATTCCAACCTCCTCTGTAAAGTTCTTAGTGATCTATTGATGAAAAGCCTATATAAGAGCTCGGTATTAGTCATAGTTAAACCATTATTTGGTGGTCCCCTTCCAGATCAAAGCTGCCCTCCTCCTAAGCAGGCATTTGAAGTTAATTGAAAATTGAGAACCTGCAGGGTTTTTTTCCCCCTTCAAAATCTGTTTTAAAGTAACATTTTCTTGCTAATATGGGGCTAGAATTGTGTAAGCTTTACTGCTGTTGGAGTCTCAGTAAGGCTGCTCATGTGAGTCAGTGCTCCTCAGCATGAGTAAGCATTGCCCAAAATCTAGCGATTAGTATTGAAAGGGACAGGAAGTCCTTTCAGCCTCATGTCTGACTTGCCTTAACATTTCCCACCAGCCTGTTGTTGCTTAAACAGTCCGCCACTGATCCAAATATTTGTTAGCAGTGTCTGATGTGGCCTCCTTTAGGGGATGCTGCATTTGCAGGCTGGGTGGACTTTTCCCATCTCTAACCATGATCCTGAAATAATAGTTAATAAATGAATAGGGAAAAACAAATCTATAAATCCACATGCCCTTATTAAATGGAGAGCGAGGAACCAGCCACAGCTTATGCTGGGTCCATACCATGAAGAGAGCATCTCCTGTGGCTCTGTAGCAACCAGTGAACTATTCCCATGTGTGCTACCATAATGAGTGACCCTGGGGTGTAAGGCCAAGGGCATTAGGTTCTCGACTCCCGTTAAATTTCAGTGGGTGTTGGGTGCCTGACCCAGGTGCAGGGGAAGGAGCGCTAGAGGCATGTTACCGATCTCTTTTGGAAACACACGTGTATTTGGGCTCCCTTGGTGCGATTTGCTGTTTGTTGTTCCCTTAGAAATGAGATTTTCATGTGCAAATTTCACTTCAGATTTCTAAAATGGTCACAAACTGTGGGCGTTAACTTTCAATTTATTTTATTTTATTTTATTTTAAATCTAATTTGTTCCCCATCAGATTTCCCCCAGGGATCCCCTCAGATGGTACGAAGAGACATTGGCATATCCGTAACACACAGGTAAACACCAACACAAAATACAGCAGGAGCCGCAAAGGAAATGAAATGGATGTTGCTGTAATCAGAACCATCACATTTTAGTGCAGTGTATAGCTGACTGCTCTGAGACAGAATTTTAAGGTGCCTTGGGTGCCTCCTTTGGGAAGTTTAGCCTTGACTTTGCATTTCCTGGATTGCTATTTGCTCTAACTCTAATGTCCTTAAAAGGCATTACACATTAGAACTATTGATGGGTCTCTGCAACCTTCCCTTCCCTCTTACAAAGTTGTTCATTTGGGATCCTGCCAATGTCTTGCTTATTTCTATTGCAGTGGTGCCGGAGAGCCTGCCATGACCCAGTTGTGCACGGGGCTGCACAAACAGAACAAAGATAGTTGCTGTCCCAGAGAGCTTGCAGACCAAAAGGAAGGTCTTGGTCTTAAAATGGGAGGAGCACATTAGCCCCTCCCCTACTTTCCTCCTCCCCTGCCGTGCTCCCTCCAAAAAAAAACCCCAACAACTAACCAAGAGGGAGTATGTTTAGCAGTAACTATTGTCCCAAACAGTAATACAGGTTTTATGTACGTTTGCTCTGCTGTCCTGCTAGAAAGGAAAAAAGGTTAATCATAACTTAGGCTACAATTCCAGTTTGCAAAACTGCACTGAAAAATGGCAAAAATCTCCTTCTGGGAATTGAACACCAGCGTGTGTGTGTGTGTGCATACTGGTTCTTCCTGACAAACAAGCCCTGTACGCTCACCTATGAGTTGCTGTAGGCTGAAATTGACCCCAGTACAGATGGCCAGCACAAAACCTATGGCTGTCCTCTGCACAAAGGTCACTTTCATTCCCTGAGCAGGTGCTGGCTTCCTTAAATACCTTTTTATTAAAAAAATAAAATAGCCACTTCCATCAGTGTGTTTTCCCTTTTATAAGAGGCCACACTGTAAACTGGCTGTAGTTAAACAGTGGTGTTTCAGGTAATGTTTGGTTTTCTGTTTAACTGGCCCCAATATAACACTTTTCCCCCTTCTGCTCAGATTCTCTACAAAATCTTGGTTATCTCAGATGTGCCACGTGTGTCAGAAAAGCATGATGTTTGGTGTGAAGTGTAAGCACTGCAGGTGAGCACCGAATCCTGGTCCCTTACTGAAGAATGTTTTGTGTCATTCGATTTATTATTGATCTCTGAGACGTATTTGTTTTGCTTCTTAGTTTAAGTTACAACTTCAGGCCCTGCATTGGGGTCCATCAACACAGAGTGGTGGAGGGAGAGGAAACATGACACACTGACTAGAGAGGTGACTTGGGAGACCCAGGCACCACTCCATGCTCTGCCACAGGCTTCCTGTGTGACCTTGGTCAAGTCACTTAGTCTCTCTCTGCCTCAGTTCCCCATCTGTAAAGTGAGGCTAATAGCACTGTCCTACCTCACACGGGTTTTGTAGGATAAGTGCATTTAAAAAATGTCATGTGTTCAGATCCTACAGCAATGGGGCCATATAAATACCTCATATAGCTAGGCTACATCTGGGTGCAGACCCTGGCACACAATCAGACCACAGGGAAGCACTGGGGCCCTGCTAGTTTGCAGAACTTCCTTTGAAATCCGCATGCAGTGTGCCAGGGGAGGCCTGGACTGGATCGTCTGTAACGAATTAGTCGCTATCTAACGAGTGTGTGTGTGTCTCTCTCTCTCTCTCCCCCTCACAGATTAAAGTGTCATAACAAATGTACTAAAGAGGCCCCTGCTTGCAGAATATCTTTCCTTCCCAGTAAGTTTGCTGTGAGTTTCAGCATTTTATCTTTCATCACTGATGTGATCGCAATGAGAATCAGTCTGAATAAACTTTCTCCCTCCCCTTTCAGTAGCAAAAATAAGAAGGACGGAGTCTGTCCCTTCTGATATTAATAACCCTGTGGATAGACCTGCAGAGCCGCAGTTTGGAACCCTTCCAAAAGCACTAACGAAAAAGGTACTTGGTGAAACAAAGCTTATGATGTGTCTCCGCAATTGAACTGTGAGCCCGTCTGGGGAAGATGCAGCACCATCATTTAGCGCAGTGACAGCTGCATAATTTTTTCGCACGTTTTGTTTCTGCCTCTCTGTGCAGAGAGTCTTGGTTTCAACGTGTGACATGTTCCACTTGTGAAATGTGGCTTCTGAGCTGCTCCAGCCCTCTGCTGCAGGGGGGGTTGAAATCTAGAACCAAAGCAATCGAGTGGAAAAGAGCACGGGTCACACATTTTCAGTCACAGTGGTGGTTTGATGGGAAACTGGGGTTTTGATCAAGAAAAATGGTTGTGAAAAAAGGCTGTTTCCTGCAGAAAATTGATATTTTTGTTGAAACGGTGAATGCTCAGAAACCAAGAAGTTCCCAATTTTCAACCAAAACCTGAAATATTTTGGTTCCAAATAGCATCTCCCGTGAATTGTCATTTGAATGTCTTATGCTCCTCCTTTCATCCATGGGCCGGGCTGTCTGGCCAGACTGCCTCTCCTTTGACGGGCCGTGGCCAGGGGCTCCTATGACTCACCACTGCCCCTAACCAAGAGGGGTAAAAAGTGACCCATTCTGGGAGTTGTAGTCTGGCCAGAGAGCCCAGCCCATAGAAGAGAATGGGAACCTCAAATACCCGGATTATAACTCCGATGAGGCACTGAGATGCCATTTTGTATTCAAATATTTAAGTTGTTGTTTTTCTGAAAAGTCAATTTTCCAAGGAATAAAAACCTTTTCCCACCCCCCCAATCCAGTTCTAAGGGAAAACCTGTATTAGCCCAGGCTGTCTGTCTCCCTCCCAGTGCAGGGTTGTTTCCTACAGTGGATTTCAGAGGGTTCCCAGTTTGTGGGTTGTGACCCGTGGAGGATTGGGAGTAGGTGCCAGAGTCGTGACAACCCTGCCCTTTCCATGGTGCTAAATGGGGGCAGGGTCCCAGCAAGACCCCCATGAAATGGGAGGGAGGGGGTAGTGTGGAAATTGAGAACTACTGGTTTGAAGGCTCAAGCGATGAGAGTTTCCACCTCTGGGCAGGGAAATGACAAATGAGCTGGTGAACGTTACCTTGCCGTTTGCCCAATGCCTTAGTGTGACTGCTGCATTTGTCATTCACAGTTGAAACCGAGAGGGAGGCAACCTACAAACAAAACTGCACAGCACGGTTGAGAAACTGACTTAGCAAATGTGCGCACAATGGAAATGTGTGAAGAGGGTAGAGGATGTTTTGAAGTGGGATGGGTTGCACGGCATAAAAGAACAGTGGTTCCATGGGGGAAGGGGGTAACTTGTATGTAGATGTATTTGCTTTGTTTTGTCCCCCAACCAGAAGCAAAACAAAGATGCTCCAAAAATCCCGAGGCCCTAACTTTCAGTAGTGTTGAGCATCCACAGATTCCAATGGGATGTGCAGGTGCTCAGTAGCTGTTAAGAATCCATCCCCCCAAACTTCCCTGTCCGTTACTTAATAACAGGGTCTTGCTGTGTCTAGGTGATAGTTTTCAACTAGATTAGACTGCAGGTAACAAGTTCCTCCCGTTCACCTGAAGAATTTGGTGGCCCTGCTCCCCTTTTTTCTTTTCACTCTCTGTATAAAGAACCCCACACTCTTAATTTTGTCTGTGATTCCTCAGAACACCATTGAGTGTCCGATCCTGCTTCGACTGAAGTCATTGGGAGTTCTTCCGCTGACTTGAGTGGGAGCAGCACTAAGGTCTTGCGCTGAGATTTCAAAGCTGCTTAGGGGCTTTGGGTGCCACATTCCCATTCATGCTGAGACCATCTGCTGGCTTTTCCAGCCTCCTGCCCATAAGGATCTCATGGGAAGAGCCTACTTCCTTGCTGTTTGCACACAGCGACAGTGATTGGCTGATCTGCTTTGGGGGGAGTTGGTGACCCATCAATAAGCGTCTCCCTTTCCTCAGCAAAAATCACTCAGTGGCTTTTGTTGCTTTTGCAGGATCACCCACCAGCAATAAACCATCTAGACTCCAGCAGTAACCCATCTTCTACAACCTCTTCCACGCCGTCTTCTCCAGCACCTTTCCAATCTTCCAATCCTCCCAGCGCAACGCCTCCCCCAAATCCCTCCCCCATGGGCCAGCGGGACTGTCGGTTTCACTTTCCAGGTAACTGATTTGTTTCAGGAGAACTGTGGATGGTCAGACTTCCCAACTTCCTGGGCAATGCTCTGGAGGCCAAGGGCATGGCCTAGGTACAATCATAACCCAGCAAGGACATGTGTGCACAGCCCTGCCTGTGCAGAATAGCACCACTTCTACTGCCTGGGGCGATCTTGGCTAGGATACAGGCCTGTGTCAAGCCGGCTTTTGCAGTGTGCTTGTTCCCATTTTGGAGTCCCTAACTCATGCTCCTAGGTATCAACCAGAACCTGGCCTGTTTTACAAAGTGTTTCCAGGTCCTGCAGGGGCTCTGTAAATGGAGGGGGATTTCTGTCATTGTTGGTCTTTGCATTGGGATGGAGGGTGGGCACTCATCAGCTAATTGCGGCCAGGCAGAGAACCAACTGCAGAGTAAAATAGCTTTTGGCTCAGTGATTTAGGGGGAAGACGGGAAATAGACTACCATGCGGAAGACCCTCAGTACTTTGCATTCTTGACTTATGCGTTTAGTTTCTAGATGATATAAGATACGGGCAACACTTCCCATGATGATCTGCAGCCATTTGATCCAGAGTAAGGGTCCTACTCCCCCATAAGCAGGCTGTTTCCCTACCTAGCAGGCATGCATGTTTGATGCCGAGTTCCACTGGGGGAGCAGGATCTACTCCCCTCTCCTCCCTCGCACAGGAGGTTCAGGCCCCACAGCCTGGCATAACTTCTAAGGTCGGTGAAGACCCTGGGCCTTCGCACGGCCATTCTGCTGTACCTCAGGAGCTGTGCTGCCATTGGCCGACTCCCCCTCACATCTGTTCAGCAGCAGCTGCACAGGACAGTCAGTGGAAATGCTGCCTCCAGCAGTGTTCACACCTGATCTGGTTTCTAATCAGAAGCATGCTTTGCTTCCATGGACTTCTAAGAGCAGTTGCTCCCCGGGTGTCCTCCCTTCTCCCCAAGAACTCACGTAAAGAAACTCCCCTATGGCCTGCTGGTGGGAGAGGACTCCATGGGTTCCTGGGGGACTGACATATGTGCAAAGGTGTCACTCCCTCCACAATGCCCATCTATAACCAGATAGTCTGGTGTCCCCTCCACTGATGTGAAACAGAGGGAAAGAATTGGTATCTGCACTTGAGCTCCATTTGTCCTGCTGCAACCAGGAGGCAGGTAAAATCTCTAGGCAGCTTTGGGGAGGGGGCAGAAAGCTTTGACTGTGAGATTTTCCAAAGAAGGGGAAAAGCTACCCTGACTTGCACATCTTGTGCCTCTCTGCCTTGTTTCATGCTGTCTGAAATGTGTATGGTTTTAAAAGTTGTTGAAAGTAAAAACTACCTACTCTGGAACAAAGTTCACTGAGAGAAGTTTACATGTCTTCAGTCGTCTTATCTTTCCAAATTCCCCTCTTTTGAAAGAGCATATGAAAATTCAGTGACTTTCTCCTCGGTTTGTTTATTCTTTGCACATTGGTGTGTGTGTGAATGACCTGAAATCATGAGCAACTTGATTAATGTAGTGAAGAGTGGAAATGAAAGCTTTGTATAAACACTGTTGGTCATCCATGTTGTTCATTATGAGTGCTCGCCTGTGAGGATTTTTGAAATGGCCGAGTCAGACATCTGTGGTGGGAAGTGTTTGCACTATGAGTGCGTTACAAAACACACTCTGCAATGAGTAGCATGAGGTCAGGGGGACTTCTTGCCTGACTAAGTAATACAGACAAGAGCCAGGGTTGCATAGTCAGCACATTTCTTTGCTGGGGTCAAATTTCATTCCTTTGGCCTGGAAATCTTACTTGGTGCTATTTAAAATAGCCGTGTTGTTTTTACCCTAGAGATAGCTGCATTTTTCTGTCAAGTCTTTGATCCATCACTGGAAGTTGCTGTTTTAAATGCAAAATCTGTTGTGATAGCCAAGACATCAACTGGAGAAGAAGCAGGATTTGATTACACAAAACAGAAACCTACCTGCTAATTCATTGGAATAAAATTAGCAAAAAGAAATGTGAATGGGCCAGATCCTCAGCTGGTGTAAGTTGGCAGAGCTCCACTGAAAACAAGGGAAGGGCAATAGCAGACAGCCATAAGAACATAAGTCACTTCATCTCGGTTTCCCCATCTGTAAAATGGGGATAATGACACATCCTCCTTCTGTAAAGTGCTTTGAGGCGTACTGATGACAAGCGCTATAGAAGGTTTAGTATTCTCATTCGTGTGCCAATATACACCACCTGAGGGCCTAACCATTGTTCTTAGTCTCCCCATCTGGCCACATTCACTATCCGTAACTCCGCTTTCACCTGATTTGATTTAATCTGTCATCCTGTTTAGTCTTTCAAACATGCATGTGCTGAAATCCATCCACTGATCTGGCTGGTAATTAATCTACTAATCTGTTGCTCAAACAATGAGTTGGGACTAATTCACTGAATGCGTATGGGGCATTTGCTGATGCTATCTCTTGACACACTTAACTTGTTTTTTTATTATTTCCTGGTGATTTTTGCTGTCCTTTTTTTATATATAAAGCTGCCTACTACATTCAGCATAGACAACAGTTTATCTTCCCAGGTGAGTTCATTGCTTTAAATCTGCTAACCAGCTTGTGCCATTTCTGTCCAAATTAAACTATTTTTAAATCTTCTGCTTTTTTTGAATGCTCCTGCTTTTCCAAAAAAAAGCTTTCTCGTGTCAACATAAACAATAACACTAAGCCATTCTTTCCTAATGTGTGTGTTTCTTCTTTACATTTTAACGTGACATGGATGACTTGTTTAGCTGTAACAGAGGAGAGTCCCATCGGAAAAGTCTATGTACCCCATTGATGTTCCTTTGAAAAATCTTATCCCTATTTTCCGAGGGCCACATCCTCAGCTGGTGTAAACGGATGCATCTGAGGATCTGGACCACAGGGATTTAAGAAAGATTTAGTTGGTTCAGGTCAGACACTTTCATAGCTATTGGTGTGGAGCTGATTTTTAAGGTTTGTTCATCTAGAAGATGCAATAGTTGTTCTACTGCTACCATCAATAGAACCCATTTAAAAATTCACCCTGTTCCTTTCGGAGTCTTGTTTGGGTTTTTGTTTTTCAAAATAGGACCTTCGTTAGGGAATGTATTTTTGCAGGGTCTGCCCGTGCGTGCAGTAGGTTAGGTGTGGGGTGTGTGGGTGTAGTAGACTGAAGGAGGAAGTGCAGCAGTGACTGTGAGTGAAAGTTCCCGAACCCCCAGTTCCCAACCTGTTGGGCACTAGAGTGGGCCCTTCCCTGAAGTTCATAGAATCCTAGAACTAGAGGGTTAGAAGGGACCATCTAATCTAACTCCCTACCAAGGTGCAAGATTTTAGACATAACAGGTCATGTTCCTTAGCATGTGTCTGTCACACCCTGTGATTGCAGCTTGTGTAGACATACCTGAACTAGCTTTAATATAGCTAGCTTGGGTGATGGAGCAGTGATGGAGCATACTTTAGTGTGGGTTAGCTCGGGTGATGGAGCATACTTTAGTGTGGGTTAGCTGCCAGAGTGATTATGCAGGGTTCTGAGTTGGCCTGTACTACCCGCACGCCCACAGCTTCGCTGCTCCATTACCTGAGCTAGCTAGATTAAAGGTAGCCTTGGATCTGTCCATACGAGCTGCACTCACACCCAGTGATTGCAGTGTAGCCGCACTCTGGAGTCCACCTCTGTGAAGTGGCTAATAACGATGGTACCTGCCTGTCTCGCAGAGGTGTCTGTAAACCACTTAGAAGGCCTTGAATGAAAGGCAAAATATTTTTGACTGAAGAATAAGATACTAATCTAATCAATAGTTACAGCCTCCTGTTTCTACAACTGGTGCTCTTCACAGGAGTTCTTTTGAAATCCAGTTTAAATTCAGATTATCGGTGAGAGGCAGGCTTCCTGAAAGAGACAGGCTTGGGTAACAGCTTGTGGGGTTGCTATAGAAAATGGGTGACCTAAGCCAAGCTGACACTGGGTGGTGCTGACGAGCCACATGGGTAAAGCAGTCAATTGTATATTTTTCATCATGAGCATCATTAGAAACCCTATGCAATTGGGTCCCTGAAGCTGGCTCCAATTCTGCAAGCAGATGCACAAGTGCTCAACTTTAAGCCCATGACTAGTATTATTGACTGCTTAAAGCGAAGCACATCCAGGTAAATTTTTTTTTCAGGATTAAGTTAGCAGATGAGTTGAATACTTCACAAAATGTTGTTATAGGTGGTAATTGAACAAGTAAATCAGATTCAGTCAACATGAATGTCCATAATTTAGCACTATGCTGGTTGTTCATTGTTTACTTAATATACCTGCCTGTGTATTTCCTGTATGAGAAATAAATCCACAGTAGTATATGGTAGGGATTAAGCATGAAATACGTGTATTATATTTTATTTTATTTTTTTTAGAAATTCCCAGCCCCCCACAAGTAATACAGCCACCTGAAACAGCTGAAGACACTAAGTAAGCATTATGTTTCTTTATCCTTTTTGTTCATTTCATAGCTAACTGAAAAGGTAACACTTTTGTTGAATGGTTAGAGAAGAGGGGCTAGTAGGCAGGACTTCTGGGTTTCATTCTGAATTCTGCAATGGATTCATTGTGCAACTTTGGGGAAAGCACTGATCCATTTTATAAACTTGGTAAAGAGAGGTTATGACGCTTACTCCATCACTCCATGGATGAAAGGCTCCCTGAATGTGCAAAGTCTTTGTTTTTAATCATTCGAAATGGTCAGAAAATGTGAGGAGAGGTTGCCCACAGAAAACTTTTTTAAAAAATCAGTTTTTCATCAAAATTTTCCACAGAAAATTTACGGTTTACTGAAAAATGTTGGCCAAAACCTAAACTATTTGTGGCTGAAATATTTCTTTTTACATGCATTTGGGGTTTTTTGTTGACTGCAACAAAAAAATGGTTAATTGAAAAAACAACTTTCTATCAAACAGTTTCAACATATCTTTGGCCAGTCTTGCCTTATCTTACCTTAAGGCTGCCTCCCTGGGCCACTTCCTCCCACCCATGCTCTTGCCAAAGTCTTAGTTTTTTGCCTCACAATAGTTAAGCAAAAGATGATGATTGAACCATCAGCTCAGGTTTTTGTCCCTCCAGTAGAAGGTTTCTGCAGCGCCCTTCTCCAGGGGCTCTCAGGGTAGATCTCTCTCTCCCTCCCTGCCCTCTCAGGTGCCTTCTGAGATGCCTGGGGTCAACCTCTAGCTGAAACACGCTCTGCAGGTGTGGCTGGGTGGGGGGTCTCCTCCTGTGCTCAGAGTTGCTCCTTCCCCTTCAGTTCCAGTGTGGGTTTTATATACCCCATCCCAGCTAATTAAATTGAAAGGGTAACAAACTGGTGACTGCTGGGAAGTGGGGTGAGCTGGTTGTGTGACTGCTGCTGGCTTCAGTGTACCTTTTGGGTGCCCCAGGGGAGATCAGATAAGTCCAGTCAAATGGACGTTGCAGGGTTTTAGGATTTACAGAGCATGGTACGTCCGGCTCTAAGCATGCTTTGGGATCTGGATTGTAGAGATCACAGCCTTTGGGCGGATCACTGTTCATCGTCTTTGGGAGTTAATAACACGATAGCCAGTACTCCATATTGCTCTGTCATTGTAGGTGCATCTGCACTAAGAACTTTAGGTTGCCTGGTATAGCAATAGCCAGTAATGGTGCCGCTGTACTGCTGCTAAACTGTTGACCATGTCATGAAAACCTATTCAAACCCTACCTGCCCTCAGTTATCACTGGTGCTACTACTTGTCCAGATGTTCCCTTGCTGGCTGTTGCTGTAGCAACAGGCCCTTCTCCTTCTAGTATAGACAAGGTCTTAGTGGTGGTTCAGTTGCACATCGGAAGTAGTCTTCTGAAGTTCCCTGCCTGCTAACTGGAGAATAGAGCGCCCTCCTCTGATGTGGTATGTTAGGAGATACGCTTTGGTTCTCTTCTCAATTCTGTTGGTGGCGCTGAAAATCTAAGCAGCAGCCCAGCTTCCTAGCCCGAGTCCATATGCCATCATATTTTCATTGTAAACCCATTTTCTCTTGATAGTGCTGATGAACAGCTGGACACAGAGGGGGTTGAAGAGCCTGATGCAGAGGTATGCTTGTGAGTGAAATGGACCACCTCTCTCTTTGTCCACTCTCATACGCTGTCACAAAGGCTGTATTACAAGCTAAATAGCAGGGCAGTGGTCTTCAGGATATGACTACTGAAATCAGCATGGCTTTCCTGTGTAATGAAATAGAGGTCCGTGCTACAAAATATCTCCTTTAATAACCCACTGTTCATGCTATAACTGGGTTAGGATGCAAACACGTCGGTATTTTTATTTGGCTACATCTAACTTGCCTGCCTGTTAGCTATTCCCTTTCCAATTGTACTAAGGAGCTCTTTTGTTGTTCGCTCACTTCTCAATAAATTGGCAGGACTGTTTGGTGCCAGTACCAGGGTTATAGTTTTCATCTAGAAAAAGCCTTTGATTGCAGTGATTGTTGGAGGTGCATTTGGAGTTGTTGTGTTCTTTTGTTTTTTAATTTTTTAAAAACATTTTTATAAAACAACTCTTAAATCTGCATGTCATATCTATGCAGTTAAAATCTGAGACTTCCAATAAACAGTCCGATTAGCTCATGGCTCCAATCCAGCAAAGCACATGCTTAACTTTTAAGCAAGTGAGTAGTCCCATAGACTTCACTGGGATGGCTGCTCTACTTAAACACGTGCTTAAGTGCTTTGCTGGATCAGGAAGTAAAAGTGGATTGCTGTAGGGCTGGGCGAACCAGTTTTGTTACAGGCTTTAATCCAGTGACCATTGTCTTGAATGAGAGTCCTGCAATTGGGCTTTAGATCTGGCCCAAAATGAGAATCTCGCTTCCAACTCAAATGGAACATGGTCTTGAAGTTTGAAGAAGCTTTTGGTTCCCCTTTTTGAAAATCAACTTTACATTTTCATTTGCGGAATTTGGGTCAAATCCTGAAAAGTGCTGAGCACCTACAAGTCCTGCAAAAGTCCATGTCTAGTTTCAAGTGCTCAGCACCACATGGGATCGAGCCCTCTAGCTCCAGCCAGAAGTGCTGAGATACCATGAGAGAGGTTCTTCTTGCAGCCTTCCCAGCTGCACTTTACAGCCTTGGGAGGTTAAGATCAGCTTCTAGATTTCTGGGTACTTAGCCAGATCAAACCCACAAGCTGAACCCTTTGAGGTTATCCCATCATTAATCATCTTTGGAGTTTGTTGGCTGGAGGAATACAAATATAGAGTGCGCTAAGAGGTCAGTTACCAACTACCAGGTGGGACTCCAGTGTAACTGTTGTTCTCCCCACCCACCACCTTTTCTGATTTGCAAACAGGTCGAAGAACAAGAGACAAATAAATCGGAACCGGAGGATGATGAGGACGAGTTAGATGACTTGCCCAGCAAGCGGCCACACTGGAAAGGGGTGATCTCTCGCAAGGCCAGCCAGACCAGCGTTTACCTGCAGGAGTGGGATATTCCCTTTGAACAGATTGAGCTGGGGGAACCCATTGGCCAAGGGCGATGGGGGAAGGTTTACAGGGGGAAATGGCACGGAGAGGTGGCAATCAGGCTGTTGGAGATCGATGGGAACAATCAGGACCATCTCAAGCTCTTTAAGAAGGAGGTGATGAATTACAGGCAGACCCGACATGAGAACGTGGTGCTCTTCATGGGGGCGTGCATGCACCCCCCTCATTTAGCCATTATTACCAGGTGAGGACATAGAATTTCACCACAGCACTGCTATGATTTTCACAGGGCTCTTATTGCGAATCAGAAAGCAGATGTAATGTGTAAGGCTCTGGGTTGGGAGCAATGGAGACAAATGTCACCTCTCCACAGGCAGGTAAAGCAAGAGCAGTAGTAGCATATGGTTCCAGCACCCTGCCCTGCCAAAGCGACTCCTCCCATGTGTGGGAAGGACTGGCGGTTGTCCAAGCTTGATGCTTAGTCACTCTTTGACGTCTCTGCTGACCGAAAGGTCTAGAGTGCAAAGTACTATTTAAAGCAGGTCAGGCTACCACAGTCTGGCCTCTTGTGTTTGGAAAAAAAGCGTATAATTTATTTTTTCTCCCATCTAGGGAGCTCATTCGTGAAAGCAGAAATGTTCTAAGAGTCAGTGCGTGGACCTGATCTGTTTACAAAATGCTATCATATGAGCTGTCCTTTTCGTTCCGCTTCTAACCAAACTTAAGAAAGACTCTTGGCAAAGCAAGAAACAGAAAAAAGTAGTAGTTCCCTTTCTCTTCCTCTCATAGTTTTTAGCAATTTGTGTACAGTACATGCTTAGTTTATGCCTGGTTTTCATTTACACTGCTCCAGAAGTTGCAAAGAGGCCTGAAAGTGGCAGTGCCTTGAAGTGGGCATTTACACTCAAAATAGTGTAAAGGGGCCTATTGTAAATGAGAATCAGGTCCATTTACATTTTTTAGACACTCTCTTTTGTGGGGGAGGGTCCTGTGTTATAAAACCCTGCCATCAACATCCTATGAAACTGACAGATCGAGCACTTTCAAGTCTAGATATGTATTTTTCCCCAAGGGAAAGAAGTGTGAATGTTTAGGAACTTGCATTTTTCACCACATTGTCTCTTCTTTTTTTCCCCCCCGTCCTCCTCCCCTTTTCTTTGTAGCTTTTGCAAAGGAAGGACGCTTCACTCATTTGTAAGGGATCCCAAGGTATCTTTGGATATTAACAAAACCAGGCAGATAGCTCAAGAAATCCTTAAGGTAAGAGAGAACACTAGGTGAATGGAAGAGGTTGTTGGTTTCAGAATTAAAACTTTCTGGTGGCTTTTGAGCTGGGCATCATATTTGCAGTGACATTCCAAATCCTGTAGAAGTCGGGAAGTTAAAACCCTGGATTAGGTTTGTCCAGAACTTCGCTGGTGCCTGCAAATCATTTGAGTAAAGCTTGTGGCTGATTGCTCTGCCTTAGGCCTTGTCTACATTTAGAGTTTGCCTTGATTTCAGCCACCAGCATAGCTTCATCAGTGCAAGCTGCTATTTGACAATGGGGGCAGATACTCAGCTAATGTAAATGGTCATAGCTCCATTGAAGCTCATGGCCATCAATGAAGCTATGTCAGTTTACCCTAAATGAGGGTCTGCCCCCTGGGGCTTATCCCACTTTTGAAATCAGGGCAAGTAGCACCAGCGCAAATTGCAGCCAATTGCACCCTACCCTGACTACAGTACGTGCTTGCAGAAGGTAGCTACACCGGTGGCTGTAACTGGAGTGAATCGCCAGTGTGGATGAAGTCTGTGATAAGAATTCTGCTATAATAAGAGGAAGAAACTCTCTTTGAATGTCCAGGCGCTGCCTCATTAAGTCATGCAAGATACATCACCATTATCCTAATACATAAGAAGTGATCATAACCCTGCTCTGTACAGTGCTGTGTTGAAGTTTTTGCTACAGACCTCTCCTCTACTGTTTGGAATGCAGATCATCAAAGCCAGTGTTATGTTTCTTGGCTTATCTGGGCTTTTCCATGCTGGACTAATCTCACATTCTGCTTCTCATGAGTTAATAATTACAAGGCATGCCAAATGCAAGGCTCTCTTTGGTTTTCTTGGTCATCTAGTCTGTTCCTTGGGGCTGCTCGAGTTTACTGGCTGTTTTACTACAAATGCAGAGTGGTCCTTCTAGCATAAGAATGACTTTTTCCTCTTGGGCAGACAACTCTTCCAGTTGACCAGGAAACTCCCAGTGTTTATGGATTCTGTGAGATGTTTTTATAGGACAATGCATGGGGCTGTGACTCAGGCAGCCTGCTTTCTGTTCCAGACTCTGCCCCCAGGTTGCTGTGTGACCTCCGGCGAGTTACTCATTTAACTTCCTCAATGTGGCTCTGATGAAAGCTTCTGAAATGCAGCCAGATATGCCAAATGCGGATATGCCAAATGCAGCCAGATATGTCAAAGTGCAGAACCAGAAGCCCTAGGGGGCTGAGTTGTGAAGGGGAAGGGGGTCTGGGAGCTGGGTAGCGCATTAGCCTGAGACTCAGAAGACAGTTTCAATTCCCTGCTCTCCCACAGACTTCCTGTAAGTCACCCAGGCTCCCTGAGCTTCCCCTCTGGAAATAGGTGATAATAGATCTGCCCTACCTCACAGAGGTGGCGTGAGGATAAATCTGTTAAAAGAATGTCACATACAACCAGGTCATATGGAAATGGGGGTTGTGTAAGGTAGGGTTACAGCCAAGTGTGTCAATCTTTTCCAGGGCATGGGGTATCTTCATGCAAAGGGGATTGTGCATAAAGATTTGAAGTCCAAGAATGTCTTCTATGACAATGGCAAAGTGGTGATCACAGACTTTGGACTATTCGGTATTTCGGGTGTGGTTCAGGAGGGAAGGTAAGTTAAGGGTTAACGTCTCTAGTCCATTTCTGAAACAAGAAATGGTGACCAAGTAGACAAGGGGCCAGATTCTGATCTCCATTACACTGGTGTAAATCAGGAGAAATGATTTGCTTTAACAGATATAGACACCTAACTTTAGACACCCAGGTTTGAAAAGTGGTGTGTGTGTGTGTGTGTGTGTGTCTAACTGTCATGCTAAGGCACTCTGGCAAAATAAAGGGGTCTTAAAGCAGGAGAAAGGGCCCCCCCGGAAATACCCCTTCACAGACGCCCTTCCAGCATGTATAGAGATGACATAAGGGCTCTGTACCAGCTATGCCCCCTAGCCCTTAGTGTTTGAGGCAAAAGAGGGGGTGTGTGGTCAGAATTCATTACACTACAACCCTCCCCTGCTTCCCAGAGTCTGTGGGGGACCATGGGAATTAGTATAAGATAGAGCAGCTTCCAGGTTGCCCTAAATTACATCAAGGGCTGAGCAGGCCCCTGCACAGCCTCTGAACATAAGGAGCAACTGCAGGAATGGAGCCACCGAGAATTAGGCCCAGTATATTTCTATGGTAAAAAAATAAAACTTGGAGAGGAAATTTTCAGAGTAAAAGACTTCCCATCAAGAGTTCCTGCAGCTAGCTCTGTGCTGTGGCCAATTATAACATGCAAAAGGGGTTAGCTAATCTCACTTCCTCCTTGAACTAAGGCGTGAAAATGAACTGAAGCTGCCCCATGACTGGCTGTGCTATCTGGCCCCTGAAATCGTTCGTGAGATGTCTCCTGGGAAAGACGAAGACAAGCTGCCCTTCTCTAAAGCTGCAGACGTCTATGCTTTCGGGTAAGAATATGAATCACTGGTAGATTGTAGGGATGCGTGAACCCGCTAAATTATGGCCTGATCCAAAGCAAAGGGAAAGAACCACATTCATTGGAATGGGCTTTGGATCAGGCCTCAAGTACAGAGAGCTGAATAATGGTGCGTTTTTCTTCTGTGCTGTTCAGTCCCCTGCTATAAAAGATGTAAGCCAGCAGACGTTTTATCAGAGAGGAAGAATTACATTGTGGTTATACATTCCACGGTATACATCTGATGAAGTGAGCTGTAGCTCACGAAAGCTCATGCTCAAATAAATTGGTTAGTCTCTAAGGTGCTACAAGTACTCCTTTTCTTTTTGCGAATACAGACTAACACGGCTGTTACTCTGAAACCTGTCATTGTGGTTAAGGCACAGGATGGGGAGGCAGGAGTTATGTGTTTTATTCCTATATGATATTGGTCCTGTTCCATAAGTGATCGGTGCCTTAGTGTCCCTATCTGTAAAACAGGGATGTCAGTACTCTGTCTTCTTCACAGGGATGTTGTGAGGCTTAATTTATTTACTGGTGTTTCAGGACTGTTTGGTATGAGCTCCAAGCAAGAGAATGGCCTTTCAAGAGCCAGCCAGCTGAAGCACTCATCTGGCAGATCGGAAGCGGAGAAGGAGTGAAGCATGTCCTTGCTACAGTTAGTGTAGGGAAAGAAGTCAGTGTAAGTGGAAATCCTTCCAAAGAACCATTGATCAGAGATTCTGTAACGGGTCTGGAGAGGAGGGGGAAGCTTACTTGAAGCGTCAATCAAAATTATGAAGGAAAAGGGAAAAACACACTCTAAAAATCAATAGTACCTTACCAGCTATTTTGCCCCAATTCAGATATGTACACACTCAGGTACCACATGGCGTTCTGGCCCAGTCATGGACCAGAGCTTCACTGCGCTAGGCACTGTACAAACACGGAACAAAAGGTTGGTGCCTGCCTCAAAGAGCTTTACGATCTAGCTGCCGTTCTCACGGCAAAATGCATTCCCTTGCCCCAACAGAGCAAGGACAGAGAAGGAACTGGGTGCTTAGCTCATCGGGTGACAACCTGGCCTCAGTAAAGTCAATGGCAAAACTCCCCTTTATTTTGGTGGGGTCAGGATTTTACCCCATAGTTTTCCTAAGCATTTTCTGCAGATTTATACTCAACAGACTTATCCCCAGACCGTTCACTTGGAGGAGGATCGTGTCAGATAGCACAGCTTTTGTATCGAGGTACATTTACCTCTCGCAGTAAGAGCCCTGGATGTCCCCCTGGAACCTCTGTGGTTTGCTACAGAGGAGAGAAGTGGCTGCATGGGTGTCAAGCTCTCCACACACTGGATCAGAACCCTGTACCAGCTCCTCCTAGGACAGTGCAGCTGGGATTTCAAGAGGAGCCAGGGGAGAAGGGACATCACGGTCACCGGGTTGGGATTTCTTTGATCCTGTGGCCGCAGTCCTTGTTCAAGTCCAGGGGCTGGAGTTCTTTTTGTGGAGAACCTGCAGGGTTGCTCTGTATGCTGCCCACATGCTGGAGTAGGTTTCAGCCTCCAGGTAGTTTCTCTCACACAGCTCATTCGTGCAGGTGCTGGACACGTATGTATTCAGGAGGTGGGGTAGATGAATTTCACTCGAATAAAGAGCAAAGTCAAGATTTTCAAGTGACTGGTGGCTTTGGGCACTCAACTTGAGAGACTCCAATTTTCAGAAGCCGCTGAGCACCTGCTGTCTGAAAATCAGGCCCCTTCAGGTGTCATAAGTTGGGTGCCCAAAAACAGAAGCCCTAGTCATTTGGCCCCTGTCACTGACCTCATGAACTAAACAGGATGATAAATAACCCCCCAAAAATGTCGTCCTCAGGAAATCCTCTCAGCATGTTGGTCTTTCGACCTCAGTGAGAGACCCAGCTTTACTCTTCTCGTGGATATGCTTGAAAAACTGCCAAAACTGAACCGACGGCTGTCGCATCCCGGACACTTCTGGAAATCTGCAGAGTGAGTATCTCCTACTTTCATGGGAGTGGGGTTGGACCTATAGAATGTACTATTTTTTTTTCTCTTCTGTATAATGCTGTAATAATGGAGTTATATTTATTTGATATTCACTAACTTAAAGAACACTTAACTCCTTCCCCAGCATAAAATGATTCATTCTATTTTTTAAAATGTCTTTTTTGAGTCTCTCTTCTCCTCCCCCAGCTCCCGCCCCTGAAAATGCAAACTTATGCATTATTCCTGCTTTAAAAGGAAGAGTAAATCCATTGTCAGTTATTCACCCTTGGTTTTAAATCCTCTTCTGAGGCAGAAAGTCCACCAGTTTTGGTGGAAAGTGGCAAACAACCTTGTAATGTTTGTGGGAGGGGCCATCTTGGCCTCAAAAGTGGGTGGTAGTGGCTGGAAAGGGGGCATGGCAAAGGGATGTGCTGGAATATATTCTGAGGATTGACCTATGGGATTATAGCTGTAACCTAAATGGTGATCCAGTCATGAGTCTCTGAAGTAAATGATAGGGATAAACCAAAATCTGATGTGAAATTCACCTTAGTGTAGAAGAATAGTATAAAACTAATTGTACCACAGGGCCTGAGCATTTTAACCTCAGTCTCTCAGAATAGCCACTAACTCAGGGGGACATAGCTTCTGATTCTGCGTGCATTGAAACCAGTGGGAGTTTTTTCCCTCGACATCAGTGGGAGCAGAACTGAGTCAACATGGTAGCCAGTTGGCCTGATTTCATCTCATACCAGTTTAATGTCAGTGTAACTCCATCAGCATTAATTACATGACTAATGTGAGGAAGGGCTACTCAAAAGAATAAGGATTTGCAGAATTGGGCCTTTATGCAAGAAAGTATCCTGATCTCAGGAAAGTGCTTTATTTCCATTGAAGTCAATGGGATTTAGACACATGCTTGCATGCTTTCCAGAACCAGTTCCCCAAAGCAGGGTTTATGTGAGGTACTAAGGCCCAGTGTACTGGGGAGAATTCCACACTTAGGGAATATTTTGCTCATTGCTATATTTTCATGAACAGAACTTCTAATATTTATTTTTTCTCTCTCTCCTTTTTTTCCAATGGTTTGATCATCCTCTTTCCCATCTCTTAACCCTTCGTGATCCTCCTGCGGTATCTTATCATAACTCCTCAAATGCTTCACCTTTTCTGTATTGCAATTACCACTGCATTTCCTGATTTTTTTACTTCTTTTTGAACACTTCACCAATTTCCCTGTGCAAAATCTTCCTGTCTAACATGACATGGAATTCTGAATACTTTGAATTCCTTCTGAAACGTGATGGTTTCCTCCAAGACCCTGGCATCATTACTACACAAAAGGACACTACTCTCAGCAAAGAATGAACATTTACTGTCCAGTCATTGATAAATAGAGCTTTCTGATATTCTTCCTCTCTGCATCAATCTCTGCTTTAAGCATAAAGCACCGTGAATCCTTTACACTTGTTCCATTATAGTAATTTTTCTAAAGCTATAGCACAAAGAACACATGTCAAATATATCACCAGTTATACAGATACTATGCAATGGTGTGCTCCTGGGAAAGCCAAGTATCTTCTTTGCACCCTGAATGCAATAGCAGCTACAATGGGGCAATGTAACGATTAATTATAAAATGATATACAATTTTCAGGGTTGGGTTTTGTTTTTTAAACATATTTGAAAATGATGTTGAAACTTATGCTAAAATATATAAGCCTATGTATGGCCTATAGTTATGGTGCTTTTCCTACCTGTGCTTCTATAATCAGAGAAATAGCATGTTCTTTTTGCTCCCCTCTGGTCTAATGAGGTTTTATCTTAGAAATCCCTCTTTCATTGAGTTAGCAGAGTTAGATAGTAAAAGGTGGGCTGGATCCTGTTTTGTGCATAGAACTCCCAGTGAATTCAGTGGCAATTCCACACCCGGAGCAGTTACAGGATGAGGTCAGTCACTGATGGAGTTACAGTGGCGATGAATCTATCTCTGTGTGTCTAATCTCCTGAGATATAATTAACCGACACATAGAATGTGACTTGTACACTGTCTACTGTCTGAAAATCCCCACTTACCTTATAAAGCACATCTAAATATGGATGGTTCTGTTTCATAGCTGAAAGATGCTAAGATCATATCATCAACAGCTTTTTTGCACATAGGGATTTGGGGTCAGGTTTTTAAAGGTGTTTAGGTGCATAAAGATGTGGATACCTAATGGGGCTTTCAAAAGCACCCACATGTCTGCTCCCATCAGATCCTTTATCTGAATAGCTTTCCTCTACACATTTGAGGTATTTTTTTTAATCCTTTTGAAAGGTGATGGACTGACAGCCTTGGAGAGGGAAGCCCTCTGTTTAGCCCCAGCTACCAGCAGCAGGAGTGTTCCTCAGTGTGCCTCAGCCCTGTTTGATAGGGTGGCTCAATCTCCAGCCCCATTTTGACTGGCCAGGAAGGACCTCACTGAATTCCAAATGTGACTGGGCACTTGCCACTAGGGATGGGATTGGGATCGCCCATTAAGTCAAAGTTCAGCCACAACCAACCTTGGCTCACTTCTAACCTGCTATGTAGAGGTGAAGGGCTCCCTAACCCATTACCAAGTTCCTGCTGAGCCATCCAGTCTCCATTGTGACATTTCCCCTCCCTTTGTATTCACTTACACTGATCCTTCTTTCTGTGAATCTAAATCATTTACCCATTTGGGTGACATGACTGCACATTGGCTATGAGGTTTGTCTAGCAAATTTGACACAGCGGCGTGTCCAAAAGGAGTCTGCTTTCCTTGCTGTAGATAACTACAGTACAGAAGAGCACAGTATTGTACGAAATGTGCAGAGGATATCTTAAAATGTCCAGTGTTTCTGTTCAGTGACTTTGTCTGGTTTCTCTGCACAATAAAGGACACTTCTGCTAGATAAGTGGCCACTCTGAATTTTTATGAATGGTCTGGCACCTTTTCGCGAACTCAGCATTTCCCAAAACTTTGGAAGGTCAGCTTCCCATCAAGAAGATGAATCCAATAGTGACTCCCTGTAGGCTCCATCCCATGTGTTCTCAAAGGCATCCCCAAAAGAAGCTGTCACTGAGGACTTGTCTACATGAGGAGATTGACTGGAACAACTATGTGGAGCAAGCTATTCTGCAGTGGCTATTTTGGAATAGGTCCCCATATGGGCACACTTCTGGAATAAGTCACTTTATCTGGAATGATTAGTGCACTTTCAAAGCGGAGTAATAAATCTGGAATAAAATCACTTTTATTCTGGAATAGTGTGTGGAATAGCATATTCTGCAGTAGCTAGTATGGCCAATTTCCCTGTGTAGACAGGCTCTCAGAGTAGTTTGTGTAGATCTTCATAAATTGATACTTCCTCTCCTTTTTTGCATGCTTTTAACAGTGAAATATTGTAAATGTCAACCGTGTTAATTATCAACATTGGGATTTGAGTTAGTGCCCGCCAAATGAATGGGGCAGTTCACAACTCAGAGCTATTGTTTCAGGCTCTCTGCAAATTCAGGCAGACATTACTGGATTGGTTACATTCAGGTCATGTTTTGAAGATTTTTTTCATAACCGTAACAGCTAGAGACTGACTTTTCTCATTTTTAAATGCAAGCTGTGTGATTCTGAGGCACAATGGAGAAACAGAGGTTCACACCCTCTCTGGAAAATCATTTGGGATCACCATGCACTTTGAGAATCACTCCACTAACCCCTTGATTTGTTTTAGGATAAGCCTTATAATGTATAATTCTCTAAAGCTTGCTTCCAGTGACTGCAGACTAACTCTTATTGTTTTTTTTCTTCCTATCTTTTATAGGTTGTAGCTACTGGTGCAATAACTGGGTCTGCCTTGCATGCTTCCATGTGTTGTATCCTAATTGGCAACTTGGACAATCATCTCTCACTTAAAAACAAAACTACCAATTTTTTTAACCTTTGGACATAACCAACACTTTACGAATTCCTCTCTCCTGTCTTTTCTCTTGGTGTGGGCTGTTAGCTTGAATAACAACGCTTCTCTTCAAGAAAAAATTGCTGTCAACTAACAACATGGCCATTTGTGTTCACTTCTGAATCATTTCAACAGGGCAGGCTGTAACTTCGTCCTTGAAATGGTCTTGTCGTTACTGTCTAACTTCTACTACTAGCAAGGCATAAGCAACAGAAATGGCACTCTGTGCTTGGATTCTATAGCTGCGGGTTGTTTTGTAGTTGCTAAATGTTTTTGGTTGTGTGCATTCTGCAAGTCTCATCCAACAAAGAGTGGCATGGGACTCAAGCAGTTGTGAGTCCTTAGGTTACACCTCAAATCGTTATTGCTGTGGTGTGTAGCTCCTGAATGTTATGGTTTCACAGGCACAAATTACCATTAGGAAGTAATGCTGAATGGGGTGACAGGTTTGTGTAATTTTTGGTGGTGCCCAGAACGGGTCCAAGTCCTGCCCCCTTTCCCCTCACACCTGCCTTGTAATCTGGTTTACATTATTTAAAAAAATATATAAGTGTTTAACAGTTTCCTTATATTGCACAATGTGGGGTGGGAGGATGAGGGCTCTGGCTGGGGGTAAGGGGGCTGGGGATGAGGGGTTCACACTGCAGGAGGGGGCTTGGGGCTGGGGCAGAGGGTTGGGGTGCAGGGGGTTGAGGGCTCTGGCTGGGGGTGCAGGCTCTGGGGTGGGGCAGGACTGGGGATGAGGGATTTGGGGTGCAGGCGGGGCTGGGACCAGAGAGGAGGACTCCACAGTCCCCCTCTCACCTGCCGCCCTTTTCTCTCCCCCCCGCCCCCCGGCAGCACACTCACCTGGCACCGGCACTGCATGTGCTCCGAAGGGCCGGGCCCCTCTCAGGTCCAGGAAGCCCTGGTTGAGGAGTTTAGTGACTGAGGCGTAGGTCCTCAAAGGGTATTTAGGTTCCTCACTTCCACTGAAATCAGTCAGTGAACACCTCGCTCTCCAGAGGAGAGAACTGGGAGGAGGTAGGTTTCCTTTCTCAAGGTGCATCTATGCTAGAAACGCTTCTGCAGTACCGCTGCAGCTTTGATGCTGTAGTGTAGACACTACGGTGATGGAAGGGGTTCTTCCATCACTGTAGGAAAGCCACCTTCTCTGAGAGGCAGGATCTACGTTGATGGAAGAATTCTGTTGTTTCACAGCCTTGAGCGATAGAGGGAAGCCGACCTAACTTTGTAGTATAGAACAGCCCTCGGTTTTGGGACCAGTTGTAACTTTTTAAAATTACTTGTGGATTCTCCGTCCCCTTTTACGCACCCACACAGGCCCAGGGACAATCCAGCCATTTGAGTTCTATCAGGTTTCAGAGTAGCAGCCGTGTTAGTCTGTATTCGCAAAAAGAAAAGGAGTACTTGTGGCAGCTTAGCAACTAACAAATTTATTTGAGCATAAGCTTACGTGAGCTACAGCTCACTTCATTGGATGCAGTGAGCTGTAGCTTGAGTAAGCTTATGCTCAAATAAATTTGTTAGTCTCTAAGGTGCCACAAGTACTCCTTGAATTCTGTCAGTCACTTGGGCTTTGCTAATTAGGGCGCCTATTCAGCAAAGGGCTTTGCTTTAAGTTCCACTACTTCAATTTAAGCAGGTGTTTAAGAGCTTTGCTGAATCAGGCTTGAGCTCAGCATATTTTAAATTTTTTTTTTAAATTTTAGGGCTTTGTCTACATGGGGACACTCAGGATAAATTTGTCAGTTAACTTTTCCATTGGAAAGAGGAATTCAGTGACTGATTGATTTCAGTGAAAATGATTAAAGTGCATTAAACTCCTGTGTAGACACTCTCTCTCATTCAAGGTTAAATTAAATTAAAGCTACTTTAATTTTGAATGAGTGTCCACACGGGGGTTTAAGCAGTTTAACAAATCAACTTTAAATTCACACCTCTAGTTAATTCAGATAAACTTTCCTGGGCGGCCACGTGTAGACAAGCCCTTACAGATCCTGAGTTCTAACAAACGTTTTAGTTTGGCAGGCTATGAAGCAAGAGCCACTATCAGTTTGCACTAATTTTCAGTGAAGACAAATTATCTCCAATGAGTGTGTTTTCCGGAGATGAATGTCTCTGTACATACATGGTATTACATTTCCAGATAGCCAGGTGCTTGTGTACAATATTGTACAGTAAAAGAAAGTACCCTTCAATAGTTAACTCCTTTGTGGCACCTGCCTTTAAGTCATCTGAGGAGAATTCTTTTTGTATATTGAATCTTTGAAGATAGTGCTAACGGACCTTTAGTAAATGTAGGAAGGTCTCTTTCCACTAACCCGTATTACAGTCTGGAGAGAGAGAGAAAAGGATGACCATGTCAGATTGATCCTTTTCCTTGATAGAAATTGACCTTTCAATAGTAGTTTTCCTCCTCCCACCTTAACAGTGGTTTCCCAGACTTTTTTATTTCTTTTCTCCCTACCCCAGTTAAGAATGAATCTAGTTTTTTACCTTTGATCCAAAATGAATCTCTCCCCTGCCCAGATTGGAGAGGGAGATTTTCAAAAGCACAAAGGACAGCTGGGTTCCAACACCCATTTAAAGTCAGTGGGTGTCGGGCTTCCAGCACACATTTTGGGCCTTTGAAAATTCCCCACCTTGTGTGTTTGTTTTTTTTGTGTTTTTTTTTTCCCCCCCTTCTGAAATTTACTTCTCTTTGAAGCAGAAAAGATTTGTGCTTGGGGCAACCTATCCTGAAAAGCATTGGGAGTAAGGACTTCAGCATCAAGCCCTGTTAACAAAGTTAATTTTATTTGCCGATCACTTTACTTAAATTTCTTTGTTGGATGACCTTGCATTGTGCTGTACTGCAGAGCCTAACACACTTTATTTCCTTTATAGGACTCTTTATAAGGGCTGTTTATAGGGCTTTTTGTACAATGAATCAACAACAAAAAGGAAAAGAAAATGCATAACTTTTTTTCCCCTCCCTTCCCCACTCTTTTCAGCATTAACAGTAGCAAAGTTGTCCTCCGTTTTGAAAGATTTGGCTTGGGAATCCTGGAATCAAGTAATCAAAAGATATAGCATGGTGTGTAATTATCTTGTTGATATTGTTGTCTACCTGCTTACACAAAACATCAGAAACCTTCACGGGATCTTCCGAACTATGAAACTGGTGCAGCCCTACCTGAAAGCCACATGACCCCTCCGTTCAAACTGTCGTATGTTGTTCAAACTGTCGTATGTTGTCTGAGTTCTGCCTAAACACCAGCAATTATTTAAAAAAATGTTTACGTCATATGTTTCTCTATGTGAACTATATTTTTTTAACTGATGATGATAATAATAATAAAGGTGATTTAAGATTTTTTTCTTTAAGTGCAAACATTCAAATGGCACTGAAAAGAACTGCTCCCCCAGTTCTTTGTTGTATCTGTGGAGTAACTAAGGGCTAATTTCTGCACTGCAAATCATGCACAGTTTCCACTGAAGCTAATAGAGGTTGCACATGTGTCCGAGAACCGCTAGATTTAAATCACTAATGCAGCCAGTTCAAGTGAGAAGGAATGGAGTTATGGCCCCATTGTGTCTCCATAAGGAAACTCCTAAAAGAACTTTAGATTTTTATTATGTTGAAAGGAAATGCATGTATTGTGTCATGGTTTGGGCAAACTAATAAACTCTTGATTACTGATCTTCTCTGGAAACTTTGTCCAAGCTTGGGCTGGTTCTGATCTCAGTTACACTGGTGCAAATCTGGAATACCTCCACAGTGATGTTAACTCAGAGTCCAGATTTACACTGAGATCAGAATCCTGGCCTTTTGTCTTGACTATTGATTAGAGTGGAACCCTTTTCTAGTATGGTTCATTTATTCATAGAATAGCAGAGGGTGGGATTTAAAACAAACAAACAAACAAAAAAAACCCTGAGGGGAGCGGGAGCATCATAATCTCATTGGCTTTCAGTGAGAACTGGGCACCTTAATCCTTTTAAGGGTTTGTTTAATCTCATCTTTAACTTTTACAGATTCATGGTAATCAGACTTGCCACCTGCATATTGCAGCACTACTTATTTGGGACTTAAATTCTTCTCTATTGTAAATGGAGTTTCACTGTAAGCAGGTTCCACAATAATTGAATAATGGGTGCTAGGATCCTGTCCATGCCAGCTGCATTTGAGACCATATAGTCCACATTCAGGACCAGCTTCTGCGCTCGCTTACAGTGGTGTCCGTGGAGTTACACAGCTGTAAAATGAGTGTAAAGGAAATGAGAGCTGGATTTGTACTATTTACTAAAACTGTGCTGGTGGTGGGAATACACATGGCTATATATATATATCTCATTGGAGTGGATTCAGTTTAAAAAAATTACCTACTTCCTACAGTGAGATCCCAAAAAGATCAAATAATGATTCCCCCTAACTCCCCGCCCAGACTTAGTGTTTCTCCAGTACAGAAACTGGGTTATGGTTTTAATTGGCTTTGGCCCTTTATTGGCACCACTGACGTTTTAACAATGCAAAACAACATGGCTTTTAGTGGAAAAGAGAAACTGTCTTCAAAGGACCCTCCTAGGTTAGGCAAATAAGCAGTAACCGTAGATGGCCTGATTTTCAAAGTGGCTGAGCCCCTGCGGAGCCTGTTGACTTCCCTGGGAGCTACCTCTGAAAATCAGGCCCAGGATGCCTCGTGTCTCAGGGTGAACAGAACGCTTCGTTTCCTGGTGTGCTCTTCCTGCAGAGTTCAGTTACGCTGCTTTGCCCAAGTGAGACTTCTGAACAGCCTGTTTAGTTCATCCTCCTTACTAAATCCTCCGCATAAGAACAAAAGAGAGTGACATGCACACAAACAGGAGAGATTATTTTAGATGTGTCCTTGTACTACTCTCTAGATCAAACCAGAACTTGAGGTCGTCCCCCCCGCCAATACAGTAGACAGGTATATATATTACAGCCCATGAAAAGATGGGAGTTGCCTTACCAAGTGGGGGGACAGTGCTAACGAGGCCAATTCAATCAAGGTAGAAGTGGCCTATTCCCAAAAGTTGACAAGAAGGGGTGAATAGATATACCTGCCTCCTGTATTTTTCACTCCATGCATCTGATGAAGTGGGTTTTAGCCCACAAAAGCTTATGCCCAATAAATGTGTTAGTCTCTAAGGTGCCACAAGGATTCCTCGTCGTTTTTGCTTGATACAAATTTACACAGCTACCCCTCTGAAACCTGTCCCCAAACTAGAACGATTTCTGCTGACACAGCACTGAGTTCTGGAAACGCCTCCCCCCATCGCTCTTTCCAGCCGCTAACCACATAGTATCACTTTTTAGCGTGAAACTTCTTTCCAGTGGAGGTGGCAAAAGAACTCTTTAAAAGCTTCATTTCACTTTTGAAACTGTAAGCTTATTGTGCAAAAGTTGCAAGGAAAATTTTAGCTGCCTTGCCTTATTCATCACCAGTGACTATGCTGGGATGCAGGACTTGATTGTCATGCTTTTATTCTGAAAAGAAATCAGGCCTGAAGCATTTATGTTTGGTGTAAAAACTAAGGCTGACAGGGATCTTACAGTGAGGAAGGAAGTCCCATCTTGGGCCATCTGACTTGAGCCATGTCTCATGTTTTGTCTTGTGTGTTAAAGGTTGATTTTTGAGGTAAAAACTCGGCACTTTTTGCATAGAAACAAAGGGGCCACGTTCTGGTTAGTGCAAGTGACTAGTGGAATCATCCCACCCAAATGCACAGGCATATGAGCTACAAAAGCTACGTTAATGTGCAGCTGTATGCTGGCTTTAGGCAGCCTTGCATGTACAATACTCTGGGCTGCCCCCCTGTTCAAGGGGCTGTGCGCAGGTGCCATTGCCAAATTGGGAGTCACGTGCATAGAAACCTTGTAAGCCAGGCCCCCTGGGCTGCCTCTCCATGCCTCCTAATAAGACTGTGTTTTTACGTAGTGCAGATCTCAAAGCACAAAGATGAGTAAGATCTGTTCTCATTTTATAGGTGGGGAAACAGAGGGCTTGTAGAGCAGCCGAGAAAAGGTATGTTCTGATCCTGAGGTAAAATCCTAGTGAATAGCAGGCAGTTAGTTGTTTTTTTTCCACAAGCTATCAGGTCAAGTTAGACTGTTTTTTAACTCCACCTGCTAAAAACTGCAAATTGTGTTGTCTTCTCTAGGTTTTTACCTCTAGATAAGTAATGCACATCTACTACCTCGCTTTGTGAAGACCAGGCCCATGCATCTTCCAGCCTCCCGGAATGGGAACTATGGCCAAGATCCTCCCAGGTATTTAGGTGCCTAATTCCTATTGGCTTCAATGGGTGATAAGTGCTGAAATACCTGGCACAATCTGGGCCTATGATCCCATTTCTGGCTGAAGGTTTTCCAGGAGGCTTCTCTGTGCTGTCTCTGCCAGAATTAAATCTTCAGGCCAGATCCTGCAAACAGATGTTAGTCTGGACCCTTCAGGCTGTGGGGAGCCCCCCTGAAGCCATGAGTGGAGTGCAAGGGTCTGCAAACAGTACATCAGTTTGAAGGCTCTGGACCTTAATTTTTAATATCAGTAATTCCCTTTTCTATTGTACTCTTGCCTTTTAAAATTTCTGTCTAACGTTATTATAGCAGACCGCTTTTCTGAGTTAATATGGTAAGATGCTTCATCATTTGCCTTGGGCATCAGATTTAGATTTAAATATTTTGTTGCTAAAAATAATGAGAAGGTGCCCAGCCTTTCAGAAAGGGGCAGTGGAAGCAGAGGAACTCTAGGGGTAGAGATGCACTGGGTGGAAAGAATGCCAAGTGTAGGAAAAGAGACTGGCACTGTGCGTTTTAGGTGTATACATAAAATACCTGTGCTCCCAGGTAACACTAAGCAAGTGGGCAAATGCTTTAGCTAAAATAAAGGTCTTGTTTTGCTGGATGGTGTAGCAGATAGATGCAGATACAATGGTTTTGTCCAATCAGGCGCTCCCCTCCATCCCATTTTATATATATATAGCAGGTGTGATATCACATGCACATTCCAGGCACAGCAAACTGGGAGAGAGCTGCTGGTACTGGTCCATGACTTCTGCTATAAAACTGTCTGGTGTTGGCACTTAAGGGAAATACAATCCCTTGGGGAAAAATCCTAGTCCCACTGAAGTACAGGTGGTTTGCTAGTGACTTCAGTGGGGCTAGGATTAGACACTTAAATTAAAAAAATACTTGCGGCAGTTCTATTTCAGACATTTCCCCCATCCCCATGCACATTACGGCATGCAGACAAAATGGGGCCGGGGAAGTGCTTTGAAATTTTAGTTCATGTTTTCAAATTCAGGGGTGGGGGTCGCAGCTGATTTCTTTAGGACATGCAAAAATATAGCCATGCTTCTAGAGGCCACTTATGAAAATCTGGCCCCCAATTTTTTCACAGAGCGAACAAGATGGAAGAAAGGATTCCTAACTTCCATGTTCCAGACAATGTCATAACAAGTAGATGCTAAGTCAACACATGCTCAGTCTCTAACAAATACTGTGTTCAAATGTTTATAATGTGTGTGTCGAATGTAAAGCTGGTTTGTGTGGTAGTTACTGATCCCACCGTAGCTTTATTTAATTAAATGAATAAAACCCCTTGAGTGTAACTGTATTTGTAGCAAGCTATATACACCATATGGTTTTGCTAATGAAAAAAATACTAATATTTGCTCGTCTCTCCAAAGCTGAAGACTGAATTGTGCCATCAGTAATAAGCAGAATTCAGTTTCATTAGAAGATTTTGCTTAAATATTGATGGCACAATATGTGCCTAAATGAAGGGGGAAATTAGTCTTCAGCGTGTCTCTAAAAACAGATGTTAAGACTTATTAGACAAAACCTCCATTAGCTTCAGAAAGTGTTTTTTGGCTAAGTAAAGATCTTGTGATTCAAAATTGTTCCATTGTATACTTTTAGTCCTTGAGTTCTGAATTATTAGTCCTTCATGTAACTGAAGAACTTGACTCTGGTTTGAATATGTGGCACTGGAAACAGCCTTGATGTACTCATAGCAATTAGTTTCTGCAAGTTGTGTGGGTAAAACAGGACCCTACAGCTGGTGGTCCCAAACCTTTGGTGAGGCACATCTTGGTAAGGTGATGGTCTTCAATGCTCATCCCCTCCTATTTCCCATATCATAGACCACTGACTTCTTATAGTTGTGTTAACCATTCTCCCTCCCATTCATTAGCAGCTAGCCTTCCTGTGGCAACATGCAAAAGTAATGGGAAAGTGCTGCATTCTTAACTGTCCTTTAATAAAATTATCAGCTCGGAGAGCCAGCACCATCTGACTAGCCAGTTCTCTGTCTAGTACAGTTTGAGATCCACTACCCAAAAGTTATTTGCACATTTTAGAAATATTATTCACAGAAACACAGGGCTATGTTGCCCATCCCTTTTTACGTAGAACTCCCAGACACATTTCAATGGGAATGGCACAATAGTCCCAATATATAGGGCTCTTTATATCCCAACACAGGTTAGGGACAGATTCTGATACCCTTACCCACATCGAGTGGCACTTTACTGTGCCTATGCTATGTTGAGAACTGCTCGGTGGTCCTGATCTTCAGCAGGCGTGTGTGACGCTGATTTACGCTAGTTGAAGACCTAGTCTGATGGGAGTTAAGGTATTCGAATCCTGCACTTGTTCTCTTAACGGTCTAATATCTTGGATCTAACATTGTTTTTTTATTTTAAAGAAGAGCTTACAAGAGCCTGGGCTGTGAATGGTGTCTTTGGGTCTGATTGCTGGTGAAAATGGGAAGTAACTCAACTGATGTGAAATGGTGTGAAAAGCACCAGGCCCATTTATTCCTTAACACGTGTTGCTAACTGAACTGGCTCTTTATGCTGCATTGTTTTATGATCGTTTGTACTATTTCTTCTTGTGGTGATGTTACGTAAGGGAATGACCAGCACTGTAAGCCTGTATCGTTTTAGCCTTGTAAATGTGAAGCTTGCTGTACAAGACTGCTACAATAGCCACGACTTCCGTAGTGTATGTAAATGGAGTCTGTAATACGGTGAAAATTGACATTTTCTTTTCAAATGTGATGTAAACTTTGTACAGTAAATTTTTTTTATATTTTCTATCAACTGAGTTTGTCTTCCAGAATTGTTATTAATTTAATTAAAATTGTTAGTATTAACAAAGGGTTAGTTTATGCAACTGGCAAAAAAAAAAAAAAAATTGCACTCTACGCTAATGAAATTCTGGATATTTAGGATTCTTTTCTGTGAATAAATCTCTGCTCTGGATAAAACAAAAGTCATGGAATTGTGGGGTGTTTTTGTTAGACTTATGGTTGATTTACGATATAAGCAGATTTCCAAACTGACTGAATATTTTACACTTCATATAGCACCTTTGGTGCTGAAAGATCTGAGTATTTTACAAATACATTATTTTAGTACAGGAGTGCCTAGAGAACCCAGGAATTCCTTATGCCAGATGCTGTACACACCCATAGTAAAAGACAGTTCTCCTCCTAGAAGGCTCAGACTCTAAATAGACACAACAGAGAAGAGAAACAATGGGGTGAAGTGACATGCCCAGTGTCACACACCAAGTCCGTGGTCATTAGAAATAAAACCCAGCCTGTCTCCCCTACATTATAGTATACATACTAACCATTAAATGCAGCACTTCTGGCATTGTAAACATAAAAAGAATTACACGAAGGGTGGCTGGCAGAAAAGAGAAAGCACAAGGGTGACAGTAATTTCACATGGCTGCTCAGCAGCTACATACCAGCTTGACAGGTTTATTCGCTTTCTTTTATGTCATATCCTCTCCCCAGAATCTCACTTTTCATGAATCAGAAAGCAAAAGTGTTGTTAAAAAAAATAGGGATTTGAATGTGACAAGGGGGTAGCCTGGAAGACAGGTTTGCGGAGGAGTAATGACTTGGAGGCCAAATCTGCAGTGAGGATGTCTGAGTAGCTCTACTGAAGTCCCTGGAGCTATACCAAGCCTCTAACCCTGAAGAGTTAAGTGATGCCCTCAGGAGTGGGCCTCTTCATTGGCAATTGAAGGCATATGGTCAAACTCTTTTGTACGTTGGTGTTCCTGATCATCTACCCTCCAGGAGAAATGGCCTGTGGTCTGGGATACTCCAGTCATGAAAAGAGGGAGGCGAATAACTAACTTTGAAGTGGAAAAGGGTGAGGCTAAAAAATCAGGAATTGGAAATTGTGGTCTCCATACCATGGGCTAGGGGGCCAATGCAGCTGCATTGCAATCAGTGCCCCCCATGCTGATTCTCAGCTTATCGCCTCACCCAGTGATCTCCTCTATTCCAGCAGAAGAGGGATGTGCTAAAACTGCCCGAGGTTATGTTCAGCCACAGGTTTCTCAGCCTCGCTACTGTACCAAACAGGCTGTATCGGAACAATGATATGTTCGAGATCCAAATCTAGCTCTAAACTCTGCAGCTTGAGCCCACTTCTTATTAAAATTCTCTGTTGGTGACATTAGTTACACAACCATGCAAACACAGAATGCCTCCCAAATACTCAAGGCTAACCTCTGTTCTCTTCAACTGCACTGGTGTAAATCCACTGAAATAGATTTAACACCACATTTTACACAAGTGTAACTAAAAGCTTGACCCCCAAGTTACCGAGCTGTTAAAAATGGAATGTTTTTCAGTACTCGGTAAACACTATATCCCATACAGGCCAAACCTCTGTGCGTATGTCTGCACTGCATAGTAAACCTTGGCTGAGACTCAGCCCAAACTCACCTACTGTCCACACACAGTGTCTTCTGACTTGCACCAGAAACCTCTCAGGCCTGCAGACTTGTCCAGGGATACAGGTCTGAGTCCGAGGCCCACTGGGGCATGGGTCCGTGGCCACTCATTTTGCAATGTGGGCTCAGCTGAAGCTCAGGTCACCAGGCTTATGTTTGGAGAGTCCACCAACCCTATCGCACAATCCTCTAGTCTGGTGCATCCCAGTCTTTCCTTCCCCCCAGAACAGAAGCAACCTCTGGATTCAAATAGAGCTGCTGGACATTTAACCCTTCGTGTCCATGTGGACAGCTCAACTGGCAACACCGTTCACCCTATGGTGCGTTAGCAATGGCCAGCACGGACACGGAGTCCTCCATCCAGTGTGCTGTGTTTTGGAGGGCAATTCTCCCTCCTCGTGCCCTTTGTAAAGCAAACGGTTTGCCATTGTTTCTCTCCGCTCTTCCGACAGGGCCCAAAATTGTGAATGTGGGTCCCATCTTGTGCCCCAGTTTCCTGTGCTGGTACTACTTATGGTACGTGTCCTAATTGCAACCACCCCAGTCTCACAGCCTGCCCCACACCTCCTTGTCAGCAACTGCTTCCTCCCACTTCTCCATCCCTGTGCCCCTTGTCCCCTGCCTGCGATCACCCACCTGCATGTGCTCCCTCCAGAGCCTGTACAACTCCCTTCCCCACCCTCTCCCCACAACCTGCACAACACACCTCCCTGCCTGTGCCCCCCAGCCTGCCCCCCTCTCCCGCAGCCTGTGCCCCCAGCTCCTGCCTGCTCCCCTCCCCCCTCAGACTGCGCTCCCCTCTACCCCAGCCTGTACAACTCCCTTTCCCTGCCCGCTCCCCTCTCCCCACAACCTGCGCCCCCCTCTCCCCCAGCCTGCGCCCCCAGGTCTTGCCCGCACCCTTCCCCCCTCAGCCTGCATCCCCTCTTTCCCCAACCTGTAAAACCCCTTCCCCTGCCCGCTCCCCGCTCCCCACAACCTACACAACACGCCTCCCTGCCTGTGCCCCCCAGCCTGCCCCCCTCTCCCGCAGCCTGTGCCCCCAGCTCCTGCCTGCTCCCCTCCCCCCTCAGACTGTGCTCCCCTCTTCCCCAGCCTGTACAACTCCCTTCCCCTGCCCGCTCCCCTCTCCCCACAACTTGCACAACACGCCTCCCTGCCTGTGCCCCCCAGCCTGCCCCCCTCTCCCGCAGCCTGTGCCCCCAGCTCCTGCCTGCTCCCCTCCCCCCTCAGACTGCGCTCCCCTCTACCCCAGCCTGTACAACTCCCTTTCCCTGCCCGCCCCCCTCTCCCCACAACCTGCGCCCCCCTCTCCCCCAGCCTGCGCCCCCCTTTCCCCCCCCAGGTCCTGCCCGCCACCCTTCCCCCCTCAGCCTGCATCCCCTCTTTCCCCAACCTGTAAAACCCCTTCCCCTGCCCGCTCCCCGCTCCCCACAACCTGCACAACATGCCTCCCTGCCTGTGCCCCCACCTGTGCCACCCCAGCCCGCCCCCCTCTCACCCAGCTCCTGCCTGCACCCCTCCCCCCTCAGCCTGCGCCCCCTCTTCCTCCAGCCTGTACAACCCCTTCCCCTGCCTGCTCCCCTCTCCCCACAGCCTGCACAACACACCTCCCTGCCTGTGCCCCCCACCTGTGCCCCCCCAGCCTGCCCCCTCTTCCCCCAGCTCCTGCCTGCACCCATCCCCCCTCAGCCTGCGCCCCCCTCTTCCTCCAGCCTGTACAACCCCATCCCCTGCCTGCTCCCCTCTCCCCACAACCTGCGCTCCCCTCTCCCCACAGCCTGCACAACACGCCTCCCTGCCTGCGCCCCCCACCTGTGCCCCCCCAGCCTGCCCCCTCTTCCCCCAGCTCCTGCCCTCCCCCCTCCCCCTCAGCCTGCGCCCCCTCTTCCCCCAGCCTATGCGCCACCCCCCGCGCCTGCCCCCCTCCCACAACAGCCTCCGCTTCCCCTGACTCCGCCGCTCTCACTCTCGGTTTCTCCTCAGTCAGAGGCTGTCTGCTCCAGTCGCTCCCATGGCTCAGCTGGCGCCCTACTTCCAGCCGGTGAGTCTCTCTCTCTGGCGGGGGGCGGCACGGGGAGAGGGACCCCTGGGCTTGGGTGGGGCATGGGGGGGCAGGGGGAGAGGGACCCCTGGGCTTGGGTGGGGCATGGGGGGGCAGGAGGGAGATTGGGGAGAAAACAGGAAGAGTTCTTTCTTGTCCCCTCCTCCCACCCCCGTTTTGTAGCCACTGAAGTGTTTCTTGGGTTTCTCTGTTATCCCCAAGTTGCTCGCCCCTGCCTGAGTTGGGAGCCATCACTCCTCCCAAGCCCCCTTCTGGGCCAGGCTGAGTCACACGCTGAAAGTGACCAAGGGCCAGATTTCCCAAGGTGTGTCAAGCGCCATAGATGAGCACCTAGTGGGATTTTCAAAAGCAACCGGGCACCTCGAATGGTCCCTTAGAATATGCGCTAGTGACTTACGCTAAACCAGTGGTTCTCAACTAGGGGTACGTGTAGCCCTGGGGGTACTCAGCAGTCTTCTAGGGGGTATATTGACTCATCTAGATATTTGCCTAGTTTTGCAACAGTCTACATAAAAAGCACTAGCAAAGTCAGAACAAACTAAAATTTCATAGACAATGATTTATTTATACTGCTCCATATGCTAGACACTGAAATGTAAGTACAATATTTATATTCCATCTGATTTATTTTATAATGATATGGTAACAATGAGAAAGTCAGCAATTTTTCAGGAATAGTGTGCTGTGACACTTTTTGCATTTTTATGTCTTATTTTGTAAGTTTTTAAGTGAGGTGAAACAAGACAAATCAGACCCTAGAAAGGGGTACAGTAGTCTGGAATGGTTGAGAGCCACTGTGCTAATCTATCTTCTCTTCACCCCTGTATTTAGCTGTGACGCTCCGAGTAACTTTCCCAGACCCAGAGTTCTGTGTAGCTGGAAAGCTTGTCTCTCTCACCAACAGACATTCATCCAATAAGAGAGATTACCTCATCCACTTTGTCTTATCCAGGCACCAAACTCGTAAACGTTTTTGAAAATCCATTAGGCCCCTATCTATATCTTTAGGCACCTAAATACACTGGGAAATGTGGCCCCAAGTGTCCCGGGTCTGGTAGAGAAAGTAATATGCCACCAGGGTTCATAAGGCAGTGAAAGGGGATGGGGTCACAGCGGTTCATGGAACAGATCCTGGGCAGTCTTCCTTGGAAAAGACATTGGGTCCAACGTATCGCTGCTCTAAACAACAGTCATACCAGGGACACATTTGTCCCAGTGGCTGCATTTCTCACTTTTGGACTAATGCATTTCACAGCTTCTTGGAAAAAGCCAGGTGCTCTTTAGGAAATATGATTCTCCACTACCCTGCACCTTGTGTATTCATCTACATCTGCGTGCAAAACACTGTCAAATCAGAATCTCTGCTGGCAATATCTTTGTACACCCACTTTGCACAGGTGCAAATAACTACCTCAGGTATGAGGCAGAGGAGAATCAAGACCCCATGTTTCCTG